CCAAGCCTAAGTCAAAAGGCTTTCATTTGATAAAAGTATTAGAGAGAAATTCAAGTAAAATCAGGTGGTTCTTTGTGTAACCAGCTGGTTGATGAGCTTCTCCTTTGTCAGTCTTTTTTACGGTTCGCTGGAGAGGATTTTGCCGACGAACGATCGAAAAAGGCACGCAATCAAGTAGGCTCAGCTAATGAAATGCCCAAAATAATATACCCAAATAATATGCAACTAAAATCAGTTCTCAAACCTCACTCCACTCAGAGTCATCATGCTGATCACGATTTGCAATGGATTCGTCATCATCTCAAATCCACTATTTCAATACTACATCATGGTAATTGGCATTGAAGTGTAAACATTGATTTCTAAGAAAATCAGAAGCAAGTTCAAACCGATCCCATCCGACACACGCTTATTGCAAGTCCTACGTCGACTTTCCTCTTCAACGCGTCGGTGATCCTCTCAATGATCATCATCATCCTCTGCATGACCTCTCTTCTTCTCATCGCTGGCCTCTATTTCTCAGATCTACAATCAAATATCGTCCTTTCGTCCTCAACAATTCAAAAACAGAAAAGATTTCTGAAAAAGTCTTTGCTACAGGTAAAGCAATTTGTTTTTTTTTGACTGACTCTACGTAGTTACTAGAATGATTGTGGCTTCGTGGGAAAAAATGAAAACCAGTAACAGTCGAAAAAATGATCTCATTTTTAAGACAATAATATAATAAATAAAATATTTTTCTCGTTTATCTCATAAACAAAAAAATTTGGACAGCAACTGGTTTTTGGCTGATCGTTTTGGCTGATCTTTTGGCTGGTTTTTGGCTGAGAAAGCTGGTTTCGGTTTGATTTTTGTTCGATTCGAACGAAGCACACGGTCTATCTGATTATCAATTTTTGAAAAATCAACAAACGCCTTGTCTTCTAGCTTTTCGTTCCCATCGCTTTCTTCGCTTTTCCGATTTCGATGAGCACAGTGGCGCTGATATTCCCGGATACAAACGGTATTTTTGTTTGGATTGGATCGAGGAAACATTTCAAAACAATTCAAAACCTATTTTCCTTTTTTTGATAAGTAGATCCGATTCGAGTTTCGAATTCGAATTGCGCTTTTGGAGTTTTCCGGTGGAAAGTTTCCGACAGCATGGCGCAGGGCTATTCTCACAAAAGCTAAACCTAATTTCATGGTTTGATTTGAAAAAGCTGGCCCACGTCTTGACAAGAATCTTGACAACAACTGGTTCATTGCATCTTTTCTAGCAATTGTCGAAATCTCATATTTTATTCAAACGTTTTACGGAACGATTTTCACGATCACCACAATTTCTGTCTACAGGCCGTATCATGATTTTCTCTTGCAAAGATTCAAATGTAGGTTTGCTGTTTATTGCAGATTTACGATTATTATAGATTTACGATTGTTTAGGTGAAAGGAAAAACAAAGAGATCAAAAGAGAGATCAAAAGACAAATCAAAAGAGAGATCAAAAGTATCCAATGTCAATGAATAAAAATTCTACACCAAAAGGCTGATGGATTTGGCGAGAAAAGGCGATTTAATATGCAGCAAATACAAAAGTTTTAATGTGTATTTATTTTCAAAATGAAAGAAAAAACCAAAAACATTCACTGTTTCACTTTTTGCACACAGTATATATAGATACTTTATTCAGGACCTGAGATAAAGTGTGCTAGATTTAAGATTAAAACACATGAATTCATACACATAACACGAAAAGGGCCGATAAAAAGAAACACGATATAATATATGTAAAATGTGGGTAGCACAGATAACGTCAAGGATCCACTAGAGCTTCAAGATCAAGATCATCTACAGATAATTTAAAGGTTTCGAGACTATTGGACTCTCTCAAAACTCTGGGGAGTCGATTCCAAATTCTGGTTGCAGTTCTTATTGGAAAAGAGTTACCGTAAATACTGTAATTGGACCCCATGGGGTACTATTTTTTCCCTCCCCCTCTAGGGTGGGGTACTATTAGAGGGTAGGGCACTATTAGAGGGTGGGTTACTATTTTACACCACTATTCGAGTTACCAAATCAGCTTACATTCAAATAATTTGTTCAAAAGCAAACTTTTTCTTTAGTTTTTATTGGTTAGCCATTTGAAAATTTAACAGCAAAACGAAACAAAAACAACTGACAAGCGAAATCAATAGAAAAATCCGAATCAATGAATTCATCATTTTCTTGATCATCAATTCCTCGATGTCCTTGAAATCCCGTCGATGCGAGCGGCTCCAAGAGGTCCTTGATTTCTGTCTCTGTCCGAGCATTTCTCATCGCCTGTACAATAGATTAAAGATAATAATTAAAGATAAGTCCACCGAAAGAGCGTTACAAGTATTCCGCCGTGATCTCATCACTTGCTTTTCTTCTCTTTCCAAAAAAGCAATAACTTTGATTGGAACTTTGTCTCGATTTTTTCGTCCATCGTTTTCCAAGGCACCGCGACAAAAGGGCGTAACTTTTTCCCATCGGAACGAGCAGTGAGCATCACGGATATATTCATCTTGTCGTAGCCGCGGGTGAGAACACCAACTTCTTTGGCTCCAACCGCTTCGATGCACTTGCTCGTCGAAGCATCCAGCCAAACTGCCGTCTCATCGCAAGCAACAATAGGCTTGTAGTCGCCTTCTTTGATTGTCTTGTTCAGCCTCAGAATGTGCTCGACGATAGCCTTCTCAAATTCGCTCGGCAGCTTTTGACAAGTTGTTGTTGGTGCCCTCAAAGAAAGTTGGTGGCGCCTCAAGAACGACTCCATCCAGCCATGGGTTCTTTTGAAAGAAATTTCGGCTTTTTCGAATCGATTAGCCGCTTCATTCCTGATAATTCGGCGCGTCACTCGTTTCTTCTCGGCTCGACGATCCCGTATCCATTCAGCCAAACCGATATCAATCCCCTCCGAGTTCAAGTGGCTTCTAAGTGGGCCAAACTTTATGATTTTGGTGTTACTTTGTTGCACTTGTTGAGATCTACAATCATAAAGATTGGCCCACTTAGAAGGAAGTTATGGCGAGCTGCGTAAAAAAATTTGGCGCAAAGTAGCCACCCCAAATTTAAAAACAACAAATTTATGAAATAAAATTAAAAATACAAACGATTTCTGAAAATTTTCCGCTTTAAAAGCGTTGTTTGTAATTACACGTTAGGTGGGGGTGGGGTGCTATTAGAGGGGTGGGGGCACATCGGCGCGAAATAAGGCAAAAAAGTGTTTTCTAACAGAAAATTCTGTAAAAATGCGTACTAGATGCAAAAAATTATGGAGAATTCAAAAATCGTAGTTATTTGAAATTTTGTCTGGCTCATTTTGAGCAAAGTGCATTTTTGTCAAATTTTCTATGTTAAGTTTTCTTTCCAAGGCTCTAAAATGAATATATCGGAACAAATCAAAAAAAAACCCCGCCGGTTTTGGGTCAAGCTTGTCGCGATGAACATTTTAGTAAAAAAAAGAGAAAAATCGGATAACCCAGCGCGGAGTTATTAAGTTTTGAAAGAAAACATTCAAAAGCTACCGTAACCTTCACATTTCTGCATTCTAAAAGAAACCCTTTTCTAGAGTCGTACGCAAATTTCATAATTGTGCAACTTTTCGTTGTCGGCAACAGTCGCTTTTATGTTTTCCGTTTTTTATGTTCTCCGTTTTTATGTTTATCCACTTTCTTAAGCTCCTTTTTCAGATGAGTCGTCCAAAAAAATCGAAGATTGCTGCTCGAAAGGCAAGAAAGGCTCAATTGGATATTTCATTGTCCAGTAGTGTACCTTTAAAGTTTGTCAATACTATTTTTTTCCCTTCTGAGCCTGCAATACCAGTAGAAATTTCAATACTATTTATCGGTATTCAAATTAGCTTCAGTACAAATGTTGGAGTTTGAGAATGGCTGTCGACGAATGGTTATATCTTAAATTTGATATGAAATGACAAATGAATCAGTTTTTAAGTTATCTACTATATTCTTGTGCTTGCTAATGTGTTTTTGAAGAAGTTTCTAAACATATTTATTTGCAAAAAAGACATAGCGGCTAAAATATGACCTGAAAAGTGACGATGGGAACCACGTATTCAAGGCAAGTCGATTTCAATGGGGAAACGAAAAAAAGAAATGAAATTTCAATATAAGAAGAAACATAGACGAATGTAAAAAGAACAAAAAGAACAAAAAGAACAAAAATTGCACAAAATTCTAGAATATTTCTCTGAATAGAAGCCCTGACTCGATTGTGCTTTCAAAAGAAGAGAAAAAGGATTGAATAATGATTGAATAATGATTGAATAATGATTGAATACAGAGTGCGGCAAAAGTTCTGACACTTTTTCTGTAAGCAGTAATTTTTTTGGCTTCAAAAACCTGTGAATTTCAAAAAACTAACGCCGGATTCTAAAAATTTAGGTAGTTTCACCCCAATATAGCCATTTTCATAAAAAGATTTCAACTCTCAATAACTTTTTGACGAGAATTTTTTATATCCCGGTCTGGTCGCTGAAGATTTTTGCGAAAGTTTGCAACTTTGCAGAATGAAATTTTTTCCAAAAACTCCTGTTACCATTTGATAGAACTGAGTTTTTTTTTCTTGAAAACAAGCCACAAAAAAACTTTATATCTCAAAAACGAAAGATTTTTAAGCGATTCTACGAAGGGCACCCAAATCTCAACAGCAAAAAAAAACTGCTGTAACGATCTTTAAACATCCTCATCAAAAGGTTGTTTAGATGGCAATTTTTGTGTAAAAAAAAGTATATTAGGGGGTAAAAATATCTGAATTTTTATAATCCGGTGTTAGTTTTTCAAAAATCGCGTTTTTTCCAAGTCAAACTGCCCGTTTACAAAAAGTGTCGGAACTTTTGCCGCACCCTGTAATGATTGAATAATGATTGAATAATGATTGAATAATGATTGAAATTGAGGTTTTTGAAAGCTCTAGATATTGTCGAATTCGATAAATCTAAAAGAAATAAGAATAAAAACAAGTATGCAAAGTTTAATAGTCAATTTTTCTAAAGAGATCCAAATTTGCTTTTGCGTATTTGGTGGCCGTCGCGTCACCGATGTGATCGCATTGTCGCAGAACCTGAAAGCAAAAGTTTCTTGCGGAGTTTGTCTAAAGTCGTCAGAGTATTTGTTATTGATTTAAAATCACTTACAAAGTCCAATTGTTCTTTTGTGTGATCGGCCGAGATACAGAAACGAATACGCGCTTTCGTGAATGGAGTAGCTGGGTAGCCGACCTGAAAATCAGTGAAAAATACTAAATTTCAATTCAATTTGAAGCTTATTAATCGCTTTTTCAAGCAAGATAAAGAAAAAAAAGGAGTTTTTTGCTAAAGACTTGCTAAAGACCATAAAAACCGTTGGAAAGTTCTCAATAAACTATTTTAAGAACTATAAGCTTTATGAAAGCTCTAAAATGAAGCTTTAAAAAGCTTTAAAAAGCTGTAAAAAGATGTATTAAAAAAGAAATATTTAATGTAAATGCGTGGAAAAAGAATTTTTCAAAAAAGCAAGAAAATTGGTGAGGAGAGGATTCGAACCAAAGCCAAAGAAATTCATTGTTTTCGTAGACTAGCACACTATCTGCTAGACCAGAGAAGCCGTTTGGAAGACCGCTTTTGGCAGCCTCATAAAGAGTCCGGAATTTGAGCAAATTTTTCATGCCAGATTCCTTGCGATTGCGTGAATTTTTGCAGCTAATTTGAACAGCCTCAGAATCAGCATCTCCGATTCTATAAGATGCATCGATTCTCAACTTGGCCAGAGAACCGAGCTGGCCAGAGAACCCAAAAGAGGCTGAGTCAATTATTCAAAAGTCGAATCCTTTTTTACATCAAAAATTATTTAAGGGATTACCGCTCAAAAACGGAATTTTTGAGTGTTTTCTGAAAAAAAAAGTTTCTGATCGACGGTGGATCCGAACCAGGGAAAGAAAAGAATCCGACGCGCTAGACGACGCAACAGACTATCCACCAAGGTTTTGCCGAGGGTCGATTGGGCTGCATTGGTGGCTGTTCTGTTAGCGTCTGTTAGCGTATGTTAGCGCGTCGGATTCTTTTCTTTCCCTGGTTCGGATCCACCGTCGATCAGAAGCTGTTTTTTTCAGAAAACACTCAAAAATTCCGTTTTTGGAGCCACCGATGCAGCCCAATCCATCCTCGGCAAAACCTTGAAAAGCCTAGTTTGCTGCTTGGCGAAATTGGTCGAAACTTTAAAGGCTTATCTCTCAAAAATGGCTTATGACAAGTAGAATTTGAAAGCAGTTTTGGGATGCTCTTAACAAGGGGAAAGGTCTGAGGAAAATTGCAGCTCGGAAAAGTCTGATCGACAATGGATCCGAACCAGGGAAAGAAAAGAATCCAACGCGCTAACAGAACGCGTAACAGAAATCCTAACAGAAATCCTAACGCGTAGGCCATCGAGGTACACCAATTGTTTGGCGGCAAAACTTCAAGGATTTTCCTGAGATCATTCCCTTGTAAAGACTTTTGAACTTTTAACTAAAGAAGAAGACAAAAACTAAAGAATTCTTTACCTGCACTGCTCCAACGCCACAACGAAGAGTTTCACGGCCAAAACATCTGAAAAAAATTAATGTTTAGCTTAAAAGAGAACTTGTTAAACCTTGAAAAATCTTTATGATTGTTAAACGATAACTTACACGACTTTTGAGGTGTAGAAAGTCATCAATGGAACAACGGGACTGTCATCGTGACCGTAAACCATGAAACCGAGAGCCTAAAGTGATGGAAAATTGTAATGGAAACATTTTAACATTCGGAATCAGCATGTTCTTGTTTTTCCTTGAAATTTCCTTTCTGTACCTTCAGCTTTGATCTGAAATATCGTGAATTTCTCAATAGATTGTCAGCTTTTTTTCTTCCGATATCTGTTCCATCTTCGCCCAACATTATCTGAAAAAGATTGGGTTTTCCAAGTGAGAACAATCACTCCCATCACTCCCATCAACGCACCTTCATACTGCTCATCACTTGCGCGATAATTGGTGGCGACATTGCTGATCCATAGCATGAGCCGGCACTCTTCACCCGAAGATGATCGATCACTCTCTAGAGAAATCGTTTAAATCAAAATTGAAAGTGGTTTAGAAAGAGACCTTTGCGCCTCCAATATATCCACCAGCTGCGGCAAAACTTTTCGTCAGTGTTCCCATCATGAAATCAACATCGCGTGGATTCGATCCCCAATACTCGACGACACCTTTTCCAGTTGGACCGAGAGCTCCTAAAAGGTTTAACTGACTATCAGATTAACACATTTATGACGATATTCTTTACCTTAATAATGTTATTTACGTTACTAATGGTTACTAATGACTGATTATTTTTGGTATCAACTAGTTTTTAACGACTTTTTTTATTTATTTTGCAGTAAGTTCTCGGTAACTTTATGCTAGTTTTAAAGAGGAGATTCAGAGCTATCAAATGACTATAATAGTTTTGTTTATTTATGTTTAATTTACAGTTTAATTTATAGTTTAGTTTACAGGCCCTGTGTGGCGAGTGGTCTAAAGGCGCTGTGTGGCACTAAAGAGGTTCTTGGTTCGATCCCTGCGCAAGGCTATAAAGAGGTTCTTGGTTCGATCCCTGCGCAAGGCTCTAAAGAGGTTCTTGATTCGATCCCTGCGTAAGGCTCTAAAGAGGTTCTTGGTTAGATCCCTGCGCAAGGCTGGAATCTTTTTTGAATGTTTTGAACACCAGAAATTGTAATTTAAACTTCCAATTAACATTTCGATTGCAAAAATAGATTAAAATTAATCTTCGTTAGATAAAAATAGATTTGTTTTATGTTGAATGAATGTATACTTCGAGACTGTAACCACTACGCAACTGTACGTCCAAAATGCTCAGAATTAAAGCAATATATGTCAGCTGTAACTAACCGACAGAATGCGCTTCATCCAAAAAGAGATAGGCTCCATATTTCTTTTTGACTTCAATGAATGAAGGCAGATCGACAATTGTTCCCTCCATTGAGTAGATTCCCTCAATCACAATCAGAATCTAGAAAAACTTTGTTTTTAGGCTTTGAAATGATCTAGTAGTTCTAGTAAAAATATTAGGTTGATGAATTGAAAACTGCGGGACTTTGAACTAAAATTTATTGAACATAAAACCATGAATTCATTCGAAATAATTTCCATTATTATTGACGACTTCTGCCCATTTTACAGGCAATTTGCGGATTCCTCTTTCGTAGTAGGATTTTGGTTTTGAATCGAAAAACTTTCAAAGCCAATTTTTGACTGCTTCCTCCGAATCGAAGTGTTCTCGCGCAAGCTCATTACTCATGATCCGGAATAAATAGTAATCAAAAGGGGCGAGGTCCGGACTGTATGAGGAATGCGCCAAAAGTTCCCAAACAAGGCTATTTATTTTAGAGCGAGTCAGTTTTGCAACATGAGGGCGCGCGTTGTCGTGGATGAGAACGATCTTTGACTTGGAGGGCCTATTCTTCAGGAATTCATTCACCTTTCCCAACTGTTCACTGTATTTGATTGCATTAAGGGTCGTCTTGCTATCCAGCAACTCCCATTATTATTGACGACTTCTGCCCATTTTACACGCAATTTGCGGATTCCTCTTTCGTAGTAGGATTCTGGTTTGTGTGTGAGACAAGTGTGAGACCCAAAAATCGAGGACTGGAGCTGTCCCAGTGTCCCAGTTTGAGCACTTTCTTCAAAAGAAACCCATTTTGGTGTCAATAGAAAAGTTGTAGAGAATCAAAAATTAGGCTTATAGCCAAATTTCCAAAAAGATACACTCAGTAGTTTCGCTTAAAATGCAAGTTTTGTGAAAATTCGTAAATTTTGCATTCCTTGAAAACCAGTTTTTGAATCGTCCTGAAAATTAGGGTATAAGCTTGATTTTTGATTCTCTACAACTTTTCCATTGACACCAAAATGGGTTTCTTTTGAAGAAAGTGCTCAAACTGTCACATCTGACAATAGCCCGCAGTTTTCAATTCACCAACCCAATAGTAGTTCTAGCAAAATTATCTAACTTGGAAACTATCTAGTACCTTATTGTATTTCTCTCCTGTCTTCGGATTTGGCTGACAGAGGGAATCACGTAACTTGTTCTCGCAATCCTTTGCACCTGAGAATGAAAATTTAATGATCAGCCTCATTTTTAACTTACTGTTATGCTTGAAAACTTTGATTTGAGCTCCCGAAAGGCGACAACCGATGACAAGAGAGGAATGATTGAGTTTATCGGAGAGAATGAGGGAATTCTGTAAAGATTTTGTTCTGTAAAGATTTTTTAAAGACTTGAAACTCTGATACAGAAAGGAAATAAAGTTACTTTTATTTGTTACCTTATCAACAAGAGCCGGGATATTCATCGAATTCGTTCCAAAACCCATCGGGAAGCAAATCGCTTCTTCTACTCCAAGATATCGGGCAACACATTTCTCCAATTCTCCTTGAACCTTCAACATGCCTATAAGATCATAACAATTGTTATTATATATTGTTATTATTATATATTGTTATTATTTTATATTGTTATTATTTTATATTGTTATTATTAAAATACCCAGATTATTATTATATGTATTATCCACTCTTTTCGTTTTCGGATATTTTCAATGAGTCGTCACGCTTTGAAGGCTCATAACTTTATCCAGAGAGAATATTATTCATAACTTTTTATATCAATGTATAGAAGATACTTCGGGCTTTCAGATGACACCAAAAAAAGCTTGATTGGATCTTTCATTCTCATGCAAATCAGGTGAGGTGGCATTAAGTTGGATTGGCCTCGTTTCTCCAGAGTTGGCTTTGATTTTATTGGACTCGATTATTCAATCAGACTGTTTTTGGTGTCATCTGAAAGCCCGAGGTATCTTCTATACCTTGTTATAAAAAATTATGAATAATATTATCCCTGCAGAAAGTTATGGGCCCTCAAAGCGTGACGACTCATTCAAAATACCCGAAAACCCGACAGGAGCCGCCTCTAACCTAAATCTAATTATCTAACCAGCCGAAAGCTCGCTTAACAGCTGGTTTTTCGCTTAGCAGCTTTGTTGCCGTGGTGTATTCGGGAAAAAACTCGCTTGTATACGGCCCACACGACGTCTACGCTTGTCTGGGTTCAACCCCCGTCAATGATTCGGGCACTTTCTCTAGTGCGAGCTCTGGCAGAGAACCATTCCGCAAAAACCCAACTTTACGACCCAAACAAAAAAAAAAATTAAATCCAAAAAAAAAAACAAAAAAAAAAAATACTATGAAAAAAAAAAAAAGAAAAATAATTACCAGAATAGCAATTATTAAAATTCTTTAAGTTCAATTTGACAAAGCCGCACTCAGAGGTTTTTATTAAGAGCCTTAACGGGCGATCTTACAAGCTCTCGATCTTTCTCACTTCCTTCGCTTCTCGTCGCCGATGCGTGCAATCCATCTCGGTCAATGATTTGTGCGGCCGCTTTTGCACACGGTCCATCATTATGCGAGAATCCCAAATAGTTATACGATCCCATATTCACCACTTCACACTCTCGGCCGGTGTATCTAAACATTTTCTATTGAATTTCCCTACTTTCTATCGATTTTTGCATTGAGTTTTTCTTTTTTTTTTGCAAAGATCAAGTGTTCAATTTATTTTCAATTTCCAAACAGAATGAGCATTTTAAAATCACAAATTTTGCGCGCTATTTATCGGCACCAATAAAGCGAGTCGAGTTGAACATTTTGTGGGGGAATTTAGCGGATGAATTCGGTTTTTAAAATGTTCAACTCGAGAAAATGAGATCACAAACAAGTTCACTTAATAAAAAGATTAAGAAAACGACAAAAAAATGAAAAATTCTAGAAAAAAAAGAAATTTCCTAGTAATTTCTAAACGTATTTGGTGATTTCTGAATAGAAAGCCAAAACAAGAGCTGAGCCCATTCCACGGAAAACATTTGAAAGAGCACCCTTGTAGAAAGCTTTCAAACCGCCCTCCTAAAAAGAAATTTGAAAATTTTGGAATTTAGATATGCCGTATTTTCTCTAATAGTAGTGCAGCCAGAGCGTCGCCTAAATTACTCGAAATCTCGAAAACCGCTTATCAGAACCTATCGATGTGGGGTCGGAAAATGTAGCTGACGATGAGATCTAGTGGGGGATTTGAGTGTTGAGCTTTTGTAAAAACTTTGAAAGCCATAAAATAGTCACCAACTCGGCTCGCTTGGGTGCACTGTTATTAGAGAAAATACGATCATTTAGATAATAGATAATTTAGATATAATTTGAACATTTGGATAATCTATATTTTATTTATAAAATGTAAATTCTTTTTTGCAGAATTTCCACAAGTATCCTAGGTCTATTTGTGGATTTTTCCCAGCTTCTTAACTGCAAATTTCGTTGTTTAATTCAAATGAATGGCGGGGAACGAGCCACCAGTACAAGAAATTCAAACCCTGAATTCAAATCAAGATAAAACTATAGTTCACGCTATAGTAGTACCTTACAATCACAAACCTTTAGATAAATTGTCTTCCAACATTCAAGAGTGGTCTTGTAAATCGCCGCTTCTCGTCCACTGTTCATCATCATTCGACGACGCACCTGAAAGCATTCAAAGTTGAATTTGAATTGATAACATCGGCGATGACGGTATTTTGAGCCTACAATCGCCTTGTTGTTTTGCTGATAATTTGGAGAACATTCAAAGATAAACTAAACTATTTCTAAATAATTGTAAAACTTTAACACAATCCCGGCGACGATTTTTTGAGCGTGGTCGTTATTGTTTTACTGATAATTTCAAGAAAATTCAAAGATAAACAAAACTATTATAGCCATTTGATAGCTCTGAATCTCTTCCTAAAAACTAGTACAAAGTATTGAACATTCTGCTTCCTTTCTAAGTAAGAAAAGTTTTCAAAAACTTCCTTGACACCAAAAATAATCATTAGTATGGTTGTATCGTCGTAAATGGGTTAAAACAACTGAACAAGCACTTACTGTGTCCCATGGATAGCAAATTAGTCCAGAAGTGACCACGGTGAACTGTCCAATGATCCACGCGTAGAAGAAATTCAATTGTTTTCGATCCTCGACCACCGTTTGAGTAATCGTGTCGAAAAGACCAAAGTAGCTGGCACTGAAATGGAAAACAATTGAACAATTGAACAAATAAATAATTGAAAATTCATCTCGAACTTCCTTAAAGGTTTCTGGGATAAATTTGCAGACAGGGTGGTCAAAAATTATCGCAACTTGGGTCGGCTTTAATTAAGATGCAGTTGATTTTGATTTGAGATTGCCATTGACATTCTTAAAGCTCTTTCGACTTTTTTTTTCTGTTTGTTTTCTCGTTATTTTATTTAATTTTATATTATTTAATAAAAATTTTGCTAATTTTAGGAATGCTCAAGAAATTTGTTCATTGCGATTCCGATCATAGTCTTGCACAAAAGTGGAACATCGGCGACCGACATCGACTGAAGAACAATAACACCGTCGTTTATCGAATGATTCAAAGATTTCAAGTCTTGGGAACAATTGGTCTTGTCTTGGGCCGGATTGGAAGAGGTCGGAAGCGCACAGCCAGAACTAAGGACACGATTAGAAAAAGTTCGGAAAAGAATCCGCAAAAAAACAATCGTCGTTCGATTGGCGTTTTTGGCGTTCAATCCAAAATGGCAAAACGGATTGGCTTCTCTCAATCTTCTCTTCGAAGAATCATTCTTGACGACCTTAAATTAAACGCCTACAAGCAGAATGAAGTCCAATTGTTGTTCATGATTACACATGCTAAACGATTAGCATGCTCAAAGGCTCTGTTGAGCCGTTTCGGAAACATTTTCATGTCGTGTTCAGTGATAAAAAGATATTTACTGTTAAAGAATATCTTAACAAGCAGAATAATCGAATCTATTCAAATATTAAGCCGAATTCTCGAATTCAACGAGTTTCTCATCCACAATTGGTTATAGTTTTTGCGGCTGTTACATCAAATGGAAATGTCACTTGTTTTCGTAGATCAATCAGGACGTGTATTTGAATGTTCGTAAAAACGATTTACTTCCATGGACAAATTCTCACACCATTGGGCGCTTCAGCAAGACGGTGTGTCTGCGCACAAAGCCCGCAAAGTTCAAGATTGGTGTGAGAACAATCTCCGCGAATTTCTCAAGTTTTCCGAGTGGCCACCAAGCTCTCCTGGTTTTAATCCCTTGATTACTCTTGCCTGGAGCGTTTTGGAAGCAAAAGCTTGCTCAAAGCCGCACATAAACATCAATTCCTTGAAGAAATCGTTGATGAAAGCCTGAGATGAGTTGGATACAGGCTAGCGCCACGGTCAATGCGTTCCCGAGACGACTCAAGGCCTGCATTAACGCTCAAGACTCCTACTGATTGATGTTTTTGTTGAAAAATGAATAAAAATTGTTATTTTATCAGTGGTTTAATTATTTTTAAATTGCAGTTGGCTGGTTTTCAGTAAACACGAAGTTGCGATAATTTTAGACAAACAATTGGCTAGATGATTAAGAAACGATTTTGTTTTAGGAGATTTCAATTTGGTAGGAGAATGAATTTAGGTAGTAATCTTAATTTAGGGGTCATTTACAAACCGATAAATGATGATTCCTTGAATGGATGAGCTGAATCCCCGGTACAATCCGATGATTCCGTCCGATTTGACGATCTTTCGCGTGCAATCGAAGAAACCCGTGAACTCACGATCGATCGCACTTTTGCCTGAAAGCAAAATGATAAAAGTAAAATGATAAAAGTAAAACGATTTCTCAAATAAGTAATAGTGAATTAGAATTTAACTTTACTTATATTTTATGAATAAAACCGAATTTATGAACAAACCGATATCGGTGGCGAGTCGAGTTCGAGCAAAATCGAGTGGATAGATGACGAGAAGACTCGTCGCTCCGGCAGCACCTTAAAAAGGAAATTTAGTATCGACACAAATGTTAAAAAGTCGGCAAAACTTGTGTTTAAACAATTATTACGCAAAAAAAGAGCTTCTTATAATTTCGAACCTCCAGAAGCGAGATTTCCGGCAAAGAAACGCCAAAATTGTTTATCTTTGTCGACGCCAACGAGGAAGAATTTCTTGTATGTGTCCTGTAAAAAAAGAAAATAGAAAAAGAATAACAAATGCCACACACCTTGAAGGCAAAATTGAGTGCCTGTTGGGGAAAAATTCTCATGACATTGATCCCATTTCCTCTCCAAAGAGTCAACGGTCCTTGCTCTTTGCACACTCGAGTGAAACAATCAACGATTCCTGTAGAACGAGGATGAAATAGAAAACTCAGAATTTCAAGATTCTCACCTTTATATCGCTTGTCAACGGCGATCGTTTGTTGGGCGTCTTGGAGCTGAAAATTTGACATTAAAATGGTTTAGAGAAGTTGGTTCTTTCTCTTGGCAAGTTAAGCGGAGAGCTGAGTGGTTAGAGCAACTGCCCGGAAAGCAAAAGCTTGAGAGTTCAATCCCCTCTCCGGAAATCTAGTCTTCACAATTCCTTCACTTCTTTATGCCTTAACTACCAGATGCGGCATAATTACTGATCCAAATTTTTAGAAAAACCTTCTAAAGAACTTTTCACAAGAAGTGTTATGTATTATATACTATTCAAAAGCTTTAATTCTCAGCTATATTAGCTTACAAAGAGTTTTTTGATTGGACTTTCGGATCCTTAAGAGGAGTCGGAATGGACGCAGAGCAACCATTTTCGCGCTACCACTTTTCTTGGTGTTCTAGATAAGAATTCTCGCTGAAAACTTCTTCCTCATAGAAATTTATGCATCAAGATAAATTTATTATAATAGTTTTCCATAAAATGATAGGTTTAAAAGGTTTTGATCACCAATTTTTGAAGCCCCAACATACGCGATTTTTCTCCCTTTCCCACAAAATGCCTTGGGGCAGAGTGAGAGACTTTGTTGAACTAGAAGTCGCTTCTATTTCATCAAGCTTGCTTTCTCCTAAGCTAATAGACTCGTTTAAAATTTATTCAATTTAAAAACAACCACTTTTGAAACTCTCTTTGCCGAGTAAACCAAGAAAAATGGTAGCGAGCCGACGGGTGTTTGCTGTGCGCCCCTTCCGAGTAGCCTTAAGGATCTCGAAGTTTTTCCAATCAAAAAACTCTTTGTGTGCTAATATAGCTGAGAATTAGAGCTTTCGATTAGTATATAATACGTAAAACTTCTCGTGAAAAGTTTTTTAGAAAAATAGGTTTTTCTAAAAACTTGAGTCAGTAACTATGCTGCACCGGGTAAATTCAAAAGTTTTCTTACCTGTAACAAAATTTTGACTCGATCAATTGGAGCGACAATTGTTCGAGCAAGAGCCGCCGATGCTCCGCCAGCAAGGAAATCAACGCAAAATTTGTAGACAGTTGAGCCATTCGCGCTTTTTGACTCTCTTTCACCCATTTCTGAACTCATTTCTGAAAGGAAAAGTTTCAAAAAAAGAATCATTTTAAAAAACGATCAAAATCAGACGAAGAAATGGGAACAATGAAAAGAAATTAAATTTCAAAATATATACAATGTTTTGTTCAAAGCATAGAGACGAACTAAACATGGAGCAAAGCATGGAGCTGAACTAAACCTGGAGCAAAGGATGAAGCTGAACTAAACATGGAGCAAAGGATGGAGCTGAGCTCCGTCTTCAATTCAAATTTGATAGCTTTTTCTTCAAATTTGGTAGCTTTTTCTTCAAATTTGTTTCTTTACCTCTAGCTTTTCCAGTTCTAAACAGTTTAATAAATATAACTTTAATAACAATGATAAACTCAAAAGCTCAAGCAATCAAATGGGTAAAAATCGGGATTGATCTCATGAAGAAAAAGGGAGAAAAAAGCAAAAAGGGGGAGCATTTTTCCGCATCGAGTCTCGATTAGTTTTTTTTTAGCTGTGGCTGTTGTATTTCTTTTTTCTCTCTCAATTTCTCTCGATCAATCTATTTGAGTCGACTTTTTGTGGAAAAATGAGGAGAGAAAAGGGTGGAAATATTAGAGAAAAAGGAAAATGGGGGAAGAGTATGTCTGTTTGAGCATCGAACGATCAGAGAACGAATCGAGAGTGATTTGAAGTACAATAAAGATACAATAAAGATACAATAAAGATACAATAAAGATATAATAAAGATACAATAATTAAAAATGCAATAAAAAATTCGATACTTACTTTTCGATACTTATATTCGATACTCTATACTCTAGACAAACTTTTTCAACATATAACTTGTTCAGCAGCACAGAAAACACAAAAAATTGTAAAAAAAAACGATTTTCAAACCCACAAGAGCGTTATGTTTCAAGAAAAACGAAGAAAAAGTGTCTGTTTTGACAGTTTGGAGTTCATTTTTGAATTTTTAACCTTTGAATTCTTGTTTGTGTAATAAAATAGTTGTTATTTTGTAAAAAAAGCAAAAAAACAAACTGATATGTCCATCCATAATCGGGAGAAATTCTCTCTTTCAATCGAACCACCGCCCCTGGCACACCGACAATTGGCCTGAAATTGGTATTGTCTCTTTGCAATTAGTATCGTCAAGCTTTTGAATTTGTAATTTGGGAAATTGAAGACTTTAGAGAAATGAAATCCACTGGAAGATCTCACTCTCCTCTCTTTCTACCGTACAGTACAGGGCATACCCGCGTTGAATTTGTAATTTGGGAAATTGTAGACTTTAGAGGAATGAAGTCCACTGGAAGATCTGACTCTTCTCTCTTTCTCCAGTACAGTACAGGGCATACCCGCGTTGAATTTGTAATTTGGGAAATTGAAGACTTTAGAGAAATGAAATCCACTGGAAGATCTCACTCTCCTCTCTTTCTACAGTACAGTACAGGGCATATCCGCGTTGAATTTGTAATTTGGGAAATTGAAGACCTTAGAGGAATGAAGTCCACTGGATCCACAAAATCTCACTCTCCTCTCTTTCTACAGTACAGGGCATATCCGCGTTTTCGTTTTCATTCCTCTAAAGTCTTCAATTTCCCAAATTACAAATTCAAAAGCCGCGAAAGTGCGTTTTCTGATAAAAATTGATGTTATACCTAGCATTCGATGGGAAAAAGTGTACTAAAACCGAATCTCGATATCATTTTTAAATTCCATCGACAATTTTTTAGAAAATGAGCTTTTTCAAAAAACGCAAGCCAAGAATAAAGTTCGTAAAACGGCCATAAAACGTAAAACGGGCCTGCAGGATTCACAATTATAACCCCACACTTTAGAGGGCCTAGATTGGTCAAAATTGCGTCAATCATTCTGTTTTTTCTGGAGATAAATCTTAAGTCTGCCTTCTGAAATGGTGCTCATTATGTAATTGATTTAAGCTTTCAACTTTTCTATATGATCAACGATTTATGAGGCTTCTCGGAATTTCTAAATGGTTCAAGTGAAAACAGAAAATACTAACAGTTTTGGTAACACTTCTCAAGAATTTTTGCATTTAAACTGCGTAGAGGATGTGAAATTTCGTTCATTTCATCATTAACATAATAAATCCAGATCTCAACGAGATTTTGACAAGATTTCTTCAAGAAGGGTCCCATAAATGAGTCGTGTGCCGAGCGAAACTCGCCCACAATTATAGCGCCACACTTTAGAGGGTCTAGATTGACCAAAATTGGGCCAATCTTTCTGATTTTTCTGGAGATAAATCTGAAGTATATCTCCTAAAAAAGTGCCCATTATCTAATCGTTTCAACCTTTCAACTCTTTTATATAGCCTTCCAAAGTTGAGGTTCAGCGAAACTCGGCTCTCAACTTTGAAAGATCATATAGAAAAGTTGAAAGCTTTAATCGATTAGATAATGGGCACCATTCCAGAAGATATACTTAAGATTTACCTCCAGAAAAATCAGAACGACTCACCCAATTTTGGCCAATCTAGGCCCTCTAAAGTGTGGCGTTATAATAATTGTGGGCCATCCTGTAGTTTAGTTGATTTAATTTCGGGAAATTATGTCCGTTTGTCACGAGAAACGTTTCTTCAACGAACCTATTGACAACATCAGACGATATCCGATAGATATTGTTGATGTACATCGATTCGAACTCGTTTTCCAAAGAGACAAAATCCTGAAAATTTCATCTTGAATTGACTTGACTTTACTTGACTTGACACATCTCCGACGATGGTATTTTAACCGTACAATCGTGTAGTCGTTATTAGATATGTGTATTCGATAGGTGTACAACGGAAATTCACGCGTCTTAATCCCTTTAAAATCGGCTTTTTACTGTTGAATAGCTCTATCTAATGGTGAAAAAAGATTAGAAAATTTTTTTAAAGGCTCAAGACGTGAATTTCCGCTGTACACCTATCGAAAAAGGGATCGAAAATGCAAATGTTTAGTCGTTATTAGTCTTGCTTATCGATGTAAACGGCAAGCGCATGTTTGACCGTTCAAATATTGATTTCTAGAACAGTTATCAGGCTGCAAATTGTTTCATTGGAAAGTGAAGAATGTCAGCTTTTGATTGCTATCACAAACATACCGTAAATATTGGGTTGGTGAATTGAAAACTGCCGGCTATTGTCATATGTGACAGTTTGAGCACTTTCTTCAAAAGAAACCCATTTTGGTGTCAATGGAAAAGTTGTAGAGAATCAAAAATCAAGCTTATATCCAAATTTTCAGAACGATTCAAAAACTGGTTTTCAAGAAATGCAAAATTTACGAATTTTCACAAAGCTTGGATTTTATGCGAAACTATCAAGTGTATCCTTTTGGAAATTTGGCTATAAGCCTAATTTTTGATTCTCTACAACTTTTCTATTGACACCAAAATGGGGTTCTTTTGAAGAAAGTGCTCAAACTGGGACACTGGGGCATCTCCAGTCCTCCATTTTGGAGTCTTGTCTGTCTTCATACTTGTCTCACACACAAACCAAAATCCTACTACGAAAGAGGAATCCGCAAATTGCCTGTAAAATCGGCAGACGTCGTCAATAATAATGGAAATTATTTCGAATGAATTTATGGTTTTATGTTCAATAAATTTTAGTTGAAAGTCCCGCAGTTTTCAATTCAACAACCCAATACTGTAATACAGTGCGTTTCAAATTCTTAAACGCACCCTCTAAAATAGCGGATTTTGCATTTTGACCACCGCTACAACTATTAATCTTTTTCTATGAGAAAGAGCATGTCTTAAAACCTAAAATACACAAAAAAGAAGCATACTGTAAAAAGTAAAAATTTTCAAAATAGAAACTTTTTGCTAAATCAACCGTTTCAAATTCTTAAACGCACCCGCCTTTGCTGTTGTTATTTGAAATTTTTCGTTTTGTTATGCATATTTTTTTATTAAATTTATAATTTTTGTTAATTTCCAAGTAAATGGGACACGGAAAGCTGCTCACGGATTATGATAAAGGCCAGATTGATGCCCGTTTGAGGATTGGCGACTCAATAAGGAAAATCGCAAAAAATTTGGGTCGATCCGACTCTGCCGTGCGAAATTATAGAAAGTCCGAGTTTGTTTCTGCACCAAAGAAGAAGCCAGGACCAAAACCAAAGCTTACATCGCGAGCTAGACACCATATTGTGAACAAAATCCACGGAAAAACGATCAATGAAGTGAAAACGGAACTGAAAATCGACATTTCGAAGTCGACAATTTGGCGAGCCGTCACGGAAAATCCACATATCGATCGACAATTATTGAACATGCAACCGGTCGTGAAGCTTTTGCACAAGAAAGCCTGATTGGAGTTCGCCAAGGCTCATATGAATCAGGATTGGTCTATGGTTAGAAAGCCGCTTATGTTTTATTATTTTTTTGCGTTTAGGTGATCTTTTCCGATGAGAAGAAATGGAATTGGGGTGATCCCAATGGCGTTGACTACTATTGGAAGGATCTTCGACGTGATCCGATGGTGTTTGGAACTCGAAACTTTGACGGTGGTTCTGTGATGATTTGGGCCGCCTTTTGTGCTGATGGAACGGTCGCTCTGAAGATGGTTTCGAATCGGATGACTAGATAGATATCTTGAACAATTGCTTGTTGCCGTTTTTGCTCCTAAATCCAACCGTTCCGGACTTCTTTCAATACGACAACGCGTCAATTCATCGAGCCGGAGACACCCGAGACTGGCTGAACAGCAACAACATTGCAACTTTGGACTGGCTCGCTCAGTCTCCTGACCTCAATCCGATATAAAATTTATGGGGAATACTTGTCCGAGCTGTTTACAAGAATCATCGTCAGTTTCAAGACGTTTCTACACTTAAAGCAGCAATTTTTTCGGCCTGGAGCGATCTCGACGTTCTGCTTTTCAAAACCTCATCAATTCAATGCCAGACCGCATTTTTCAAGTAATTAACCGTTCTGGTCCGTGTACAGATTATTAGTTTTGATTTTTAACCTTTGATTTTAAATTTGTGTCGATAAATAAAAATATTTTCATAGTGCGTTTAAGAATTTGAAACGGTTGATTTAGCAAAAAGTTTCTATTTTGAAAATTTTTACTTTTTACAGTATGCTTCTTTTTTGTGTATTTTAGGTTTTAAGACATGCTCTTTCTCATAGAAAAAGATTAATAGTTGTAGCGGTGGTCAAAATGCAAAATCCGCTATTTTAGAGGGTGCGTTTAAGAATTTGAAACGCACTGTAGTACCCCATAATGACGGTGCGGAGTGTTGCGTAGTCTGGCTTTGAACGAGCTTTTCTCGACACTGGTTTATGCTACAATGTTCGCTTAGGTATCAAAAAATAGCTGAGATTCAGGGCTATTTTTTGATACCAAAGACGCATGTTTTGAAAGCACGGGCGCTTCGAAAAAAATGAAATACTGAAAAACATTTGCGACTACGCGACTGTACGAGGGGGTGGGGTACCATTAGAATATTTACAATAGCAAATTCTCATAGATGAGTGCCTTAAAAAGCTTATTAATACTTAATAATACAATACGATAATCGATACTTTTGACATCGTTTATGAAGTGCTTACTCACTAAAAGTCGCTATGTATAAAATATCAATCAAAAGCTGACATTCGTGACTTTCCAATGAAACAATTTCCAGTTTAATAGATGTTCTAGAAAGTGAGATCTGAACGGTCAAACATGAGCAATATCGAGCGATAATATCGATATTAGACTAGATCAGTCTAGATCAGTCTAGATGACTCTAGATTGGTCTAGATCTAGTGTAGATTAGTCTAGATCAGTCTAGCTCAGTCTAGATCTAGTCTAGATCAGTCTAGCTCAGTCTAGATCTAGTCTAGATCAGTCTAGATTACTCTAGATCTAGTCGTCCGACCTAGAATCAGTCTAGATCGGACGTCCGTTTTCTAGATCGAACGTAATAGATACAATAGATATAATAGCTATTTTTCTTTCTCAAACCTGGATAGATGCTTAGCTCATCGGCCGTTATTTTCTGTATGTAGTTTAGTTTTTATTGTTTTATTGACAACAAAAATAATTGTCATTAGTACGTCATTGTATCGTTGTGAATGTGTCAAGCAAAAAGATTGAAATGACTATAACGAACCCGTTGTTCAGGCCTTTCTCTCGCCACTCCTTCTCCTCCGACTTTCAACACTCCATGTCTTCTCAAGAAATCAGCCAAACGAGAAAAGAAAATGATCACCGTGAAGCCGAAATATACTGCAATTTGAAAACTCGAAAGTTTAAGTGGGTCTACCGTAAAAGTTAGATCAAGAATGACTCCAAGTACTTCATGAACACTAGCTGGAGTCTTAGGGAAGTAAGAAATAAGATTCTCCTCTGACCGGAACGGGATACGTGTCGGTGGAGCTCATTGGTAGAGCTCCACCGACACTTAGCTCCACCGACACTTCTCACTTAGCGTTCGCCCGCTAAGTGAGAAGTCGCGGGTTCGAATCCCGTACCTTTTCTTTCTTTTTTCCTTTTCATAACCATCCTTTTCGTATTCCAAACCCATAAAGGGACCAACTGAGAACTTACATAGAGCTGAAGAAAGCATTCCCATCTCTGGATATTCCTCAATCGCGTACTCTCCACGAGACCATTGACTAAATAAGATTTTGCTTTGATCTTTACCATTTTCTTGGCGCATTTCTAGGCTTATTAATTGGTAAATATTTCTCAAAACTTACAATTTCTTTTTGCTTTTTGTTTCGATTTTAGTTGTCGATATTTCCCTGATTTCATCTTCACCGATCACTTCAATTGAGGCTTCACTCGAAGATTGATGAATCACTTCGACAACCATTTTATCTAAAAATGATGGCTGATTGGCTGATTCAAGAGTTGTTTATATTTAAAAAGAAGGCTTACATTGTTAATGTATGACGAGGAGAATATTTGCTGATTTGCGTTTCCCGGCGACCAAACAAAAGACAAAAGAAATGTGAATCTTTTGGTTGAAATTACCTAAAAAAATTGGAAAATCATTGAAAGAGCTTTTTCAAGGGTAAATTAATTCATTAAAGATCACAAGAATAGAAAAAAAGCGTTGAAACTTTTCAAAAAGCGTTGAAACAACTTTTCAAAAAATTAAAAAAATTTTTGCAGTTGCTAAGCTCTTTCTGTTCTTTGAAATCAAAATTCCTTGAATTTAGGTGATTTTGCAGACTTTTTTCCGCGTAGAAACCAATTTACATTCTGTTTCAAATACGTTTTTCCATGAAAAATTTGAAACAGCCGATTGGATCGAGAGGAAAAAAAAGAAAGAAATCGAGATAAGAATGAATGAAAGGTGAATAGAATAGAGGAGATCAATGATTTCAGTTTCAAGATTTCAAGTGTGCAAGAAAAAGAAAACGAATTAGAAAGGAGTAGATGATCGTTAAATCAGAAAGGAGTAGATGATGGGTAAATCAGAAAGGAGTAGATGATAGGTAAATCAGAAAAAAAACAAATCAGAAAGGAGTAGATGATAGGTAAATCAGAAAAGAGTAGATGAAAAATAAATCAGAAAGGGATAGATGATAGATAAATCAAGAAAAACGAAACAGAAAGGAGTAGATGATAGGTAAATCATATTGATAGCTTGATAAATCCCCCTTTGCTCACTCAGCTGAATATCTTCTAGTTTTGTGGGGGGAATTTCAAACAAAAAGCTACGCAACTACGAAAAGCTACGAAAAGCTACGTAAAATCTAGCTTCCTAGCTTTCATAGCCGCTTCATTTGTTTGAATTTTCCAAGAAAATTAAAAGCTATTCAACTAGAGATAGATATTTACTTTAAAAGTAAATGAAGATATTCAGCTGAGTGGGCAAAGGGGAATTTATCAATCGATCAATATGATTTTATTGATAGATTGATCTATTTTATCTATCATCTACTCTTTTATGATTCGTTTTCTTTTTCTTTCACACTTCAAATCTTCAAACTGAAAACATGAAAACACAAAAAATTCACTTAAACAAAGCCATCTATTAAACAGGAATAATGTGACATTCTGCTGAGTGGGCAAAAGGGGAATTGATCAATCTATCAATATGATCAATCTATCATCTATTCTTTTATATTACAAATATACAAATCAACAAATAACCCCCAATATCCCTAAAAATAAAATTCTTTACTAAAAATTTTGCCAATATCTTTAAAACAAATTTTTAACGTCTAAAGTTATTTTAAGCGATAGCAGGAAGCGAAAAAAAAATGGAGAAAAGCTTGAGGAAAGTACAAAGTACAAAGGAAATGTTCCGAATATAGGAGATGAGATGAGAGATGAAAAAGAAAATGAGAAAAGAATGGGAGGAAAGGAGAAAAGGGACAGATATTTTTCAACAGAAAGCGAATGATTTAGATTGGATAGAAGAATGGGGAAATGAATGGGGAAAGGGATACGGGGAGATGAGTGAGAGAAAGAAAAGATTGATGCTAATCAATCGATTCGCGGGATGGGAAATGGAAAAAATGACGAGAGCAAATAAACAAAGTTCTCACGCAAATCGTATCTAAAAACAAATTCGTTCTAAAGTTTCAAAATTTCGTAAGCTTTTACTTTTTGAAGAAAGCGAACGGGAAATGCTTAACTGTTTTGCTGTTTGATTTCATTAAAGCATTCGGCTAATTGTAAGAAAAGAAATGTTAAAAGATAGAAAAATGGAAAAATAGAAAAATAGAATCTCTTGGATCTTAGAAATATAGAATCTCTCTTCTACTGGGCAACCGGGGATGGCTAAGAGCTGGACAAAGGGTAGATAATTTAAAAATCACTTGGATTACTGTGGCCACTTCAGGGGTTACTATAGCCGCTTTCGAGATTACTGTAGCGCGAAAGGATTACGAATGCAACCATCAGGGAGTAGTTACGGTAGTTTTTAAATAGATAACTGTTTTTTCGAAAGCAAACTAATTAAGAAGAATCAAGAAGGATTGTAAGTGCTGTAAAAAACTCTAATCGAAGCCCTTCCCCTCTTGAACCCCACCCCCTATAGAAGCGTCGCGTAGTCGAAGTTTACTCTCAAACAAACGCTCATATCTCGACATCAGTACGTTTGTTTCTGCGCGTTTGGGTATCAACTTAAAGTACAGAGAATGGGTGATTTTTTGAGATATAACATATATTTTTAGCATTACCCAGCGCTTAGAAAAAAATGATTAAAAAGTGGCAAAAAAGAGCCGATTTTCGGCGATTTTCAATCATTTTTTTCTAAGCGCTACTTAATGCTAAAAATCTGTGTTATATCTCAAAATATCACCCATTCTCTGTACTTTAAGTTGATACCCAAGCGTGCAGAAACAAACGTACTGATGTCGAGATATGAGCGTTTGTTTGAGAGTAAACTTCGACTACGCGACGCTTCTATAGGGGGTGGGTTTCAATTAGAGTTTTTACGCTATTTGGAAACTATAAATGAATGTGGAATGGTAAAATCAAGGAAAACCTTGAGAAAACCCTATAGTGCCACCACTCGAGTCCAAGGTCCATCATTTCATTGATCAAAAAGGTGGAAAGGTGAAAGAAGATAACGAATGAAAATAACGCGATTCAAACCGTTCTAGACGTTCCGAAAAATAAACAAAAAATAAACAAAATTGAAACAAAGAAATTTGTTGGTTAAAAAATGAAAATGTTTACCATTGAATGCCTATGAAAAAGCAGAAAAAGCATTCAAAGGTAAACGAGGAGCATCCCATTTCTGGCAACACAAATCGAGCGCCCGATTTACGAATTGATAAGGGGGAAAATATCGGGTGATTGGTCACTTTTTCGATGAATCGAGATCAAAGTATAGGAAAAGATATGGAAAGGTGGCTAGGTGGGATTTTGCTCTTTCGATGAGTGAGAAAATAAAAAGCGAGGAGTTCAACAGGGCAGAGTACGAAATTTGCACCTAGAAACGATCTTTCTAAAAAAAACAGAATAACAAAAAAAGACTCTCATCGAGTATACAGGCGTTAAGTAAAACAACACTGAAAACTTGAAATCCAATTACGACTTTCTTAGAGCCTTCTTTGAGCTTTCTTTTTGCGCTTTAACAACAATCAACCTTTCACTTTTCGTTTAAAAAGAGTTTTTAAAAAATCGAATTTCTTTTGATTGACTACGTTTAATTTCAGAAAATTACCGAAAATTTCGATGATTTTTGAGAGAAATTCAAGCGATCAGGCATTTGAATTGATTCTGACAATAGATTGGCCATTTAAAAGACTTGATCTTTGCTTACAAGCCTTAAATTTCAAACATAAACTTGCTATACCGTATTTTCTCTAATAACAGTGCACCCCAGCGAGCCGAGTTGGTGACTATTTTACGGCTTTCAAAGTTTTCACAGAAGCTCAACACTCAAATCCCCCACTAGATCTCATCGTCAGCTACATTTTCCGATCCCACATCGATAGGTTCTGATAAGCGCTTTTCGAGATTTCGAGCAATTTAGGCGACGCTCTGGCTGCACTACTATTAGAGAAAATACGATAATTATCAAACTTTAAAATATTCAGCTTCGGATAGTTTTTTCTTTGTTATCTTAAAAGCTGAATTTGCTGACTGCAAAACTGGCTGACTTTTTTGCTGAATTTAAAAGCTGAATTTGCTGAAGGGTGTGCTTACGCAATGTTTGCAAGGAGCTTGTAGAAATGTTTAATGTTGATCCGAAGACAATCAAAAACCATTTGCATCAACTTGGGAAAAAAATTCGCTGTGGAAAATGGGGAAAACGAATTGACTCAAGACAACAAAATAACTCCTGTCAACGTCAGTTCTTTTTTTACTTCATATAGCTCGTGGTTTTTGGGATTCGATTTTGACACCTGATGAAACTGGGGTTAATTATGAGAATGTTAAAAGGAAGAACCAATGGCTATCTACTGGACAAACCCCTCAAATCACTCCCAAGCCTGATATTCATGGAAAGAAAATAATGCTCTGTTCTGGTGCTACTCAAAAGATTTAATGCATTATGTTAATCCAGGAGAAAGCATTGATGTTTATCTTGATGTTGATCTCTATTCAAAACAATTGACTTAAAGTTAATGATGCTTTAAAGAAATTTCGGCTCAATTCATCAAAGATTCGATTTTTTTTTGCACGACAACGCGAAACCCCACTCACAAGTCACTCACAAAAAACATTGACAAACTGGGAACTGGCTGAAAGTTGCTTCCTCATGCGCCTTACTTTCCTGAATTAGCTCAGTGAGATCATTTTCTGTTTCGGTCCCTGAAACAGTTTATCATGAGAGAAAAGTTCGATGATCACGCTCAAGTCAAAAAAAAAAGCGATCGACAACTATTTTGGCTTCAAAAATCTTCAATTTTTCACAAATGGAATCAAGAATTTGCGTCGAAGATGGGAAGAAGTCATCGATAAAAATCGGGAATAAGGTATTGATTGATAGTTGCTATTTCTTGTATTGGGTTGGTGAATTGAAAACTGCGGGACTTTGAGCTAAAATTTATTCGACATAAAACCATAAATTCATTCGAAATAATTTCCATTATTATTGACGACTTCTGCCAATTTTACAGGCAATTTGCGGATTCCTCTTTCGTAGTAGGACTTTGGTTTCTGTGTGAGACAAGTGTGAGACTCAAAAATGGAGGACTGGAGCTGTCCTGGAGATGTCCCAGTTTGAGCAGTTTCTTCAAAAGAAACCCATTTTGGTATCAATAGAAAAGTTGTAGAGAATCAAAAATTAGGCTTATAGCCAAATTTCCAAAAAGATAAACTTAGTAGTTTCGCTTAAAATGCAAGTTTTGTGAAAATTCGTAAATTTGGCATTTCTTGAAAACTAGTTTTTGAATCGTTCTGAAAATTTGGATATAAGCTTGATTTATGATTCTCTACAACTTTTCCATTGACACCAAAATGGGTTTCTTTGAAGAAAGTGCACAAACTGTCACCTATGACAATAGCCCACAGTTTTCAATTCACCAACCCAATAGAATGCGATAAATTGTTTCACCAGAAAAACGCGCATTATTTTTCCCTGAACCTAATACTTCAAATACCGTTTACCCTAGTTTTCAAATTCAAAAATGAATAAAAATCTTTGAAAGTCAAAATCACGGTAGTAAACAAAAAAGATATAGTCATTTAAGAAAAGAAAATCACGCGATAGCTATATAAAAGAAGAAACGATTCACGAAAGTTGAAAATGTTTATTTTTCTTATCTTTTTTTCGGATCATTCCAATCAAATTCCTCCACATTCACTGCCTCTCTTATTTCGATGGAAAAAAGCGCAAGCGATCGCTGATTCACCAATATGCCTGCCTATTTTTTTTTCTATTTTTCTTTACATACCAAAGATTTCTATCTAAACACGAGCATAAATGAAAGCAAATTAAATCAATGACGTGAAGAATTATCAATAAAAACGCTTCCGTAGTCGGTTTTTTTTGGTTGTAAAATAATGGATTTTATGGGTGATTCACGTAAAAATTTTATCAGCTTTGATCTTATCGACGGGGGAGAATTTCTGCGTTCGAGTTTATGCCGTGCTAGACTCAACTCCATAAAAATGAATGCAAAAGAGATAATCTAGGGAAATGGAAAAGTTTGACGTCGTCATAAATGTGTTTAAAATTAATAAATGTGATTAAAAATGACGCTTAAACGACTACGCTTAAAATGTCATTTTAAGCGTAGTCATTTTAAGTCATTTTAAGCGTAGTCGTTAACTGTTTTAAAACATAAAACATTTTAAAAAGATATGTCCAATGGATTTATAAGTGTGTCAAATTTTGTACGATTTAAATGCTCTTGAGTATTTTAGGGGCTTAACCTAACTCTCATCGTTGTCAAGGTTCAATCTCGATCTCTGAAGCTTTGAGAAACTTTGGAAAGCTTTGGGAAACTTCGGGAAGCTTTGGAAAGCTTCGGGAAACTTTGGAAAGCTTGGGAAACTTCGGGAAGCTTTGGAAAGCTTTGGGAAACTTTGGAAAGCTTCTCAAAGGCTTTTAAATTATTGTCTACGTGAAATTAAATGACTCATCCTGTTATTTGCGTGTCTTCTCCCCAATGATGTGATAAGAGAGGGGTAAAGCGATGAAAAGACGGGAAAACACGCAAAAGAACCCGTTTTTTGTGTTGCTGCTCGTCTCGTCTACAGTCTCTATTCATTTTCTCATTTTCAAAAGATTTCGGTCACAGGTGTGGAGGCGCAATGGGGGTAGACGGGTGGGTTTGGGCGTGGCTGCCCCGCCTCCATCTTGTTTCCTGTGTTTTTCCCCCCAATATTCCTACCGATTCTATTCCTTTTGATTGAGGAAAAGCGCAATCTTTTCATTCAATCCAAAAGGATCTCTCTTTTACATTCTTTTTTGAGTTGATTGATTAGAAATCCTCTTTATTAAGGCGATTTTGAGGCAATTCAATTTCAGTTTTTAGGCAATAGTTGTGGAATATTTTTGGTTTTAGGTAAGCCATCTTTCTTTTGTGACAATAAGGTTTTCGTTTAACGATTTCAGCTTCAATTTAAGCTTCAATTTAAGCCTCAGAGTTCTTCGAATCCTATCAGAAAGAATTCAAGTTCAATCGTGAATCGTGACCACTTGAGAAACCCTTAAACAATCTTAGTCTTTAGTCCAATCCAATCCAATCCAATCCAATCCAATTCAATTCAATCCAAAGATTTAATCCAATTACATTATCTAAGCCTATGAAAATTTGATTTCTATTTCTTCAGTTGTTTTCATTTCAATCATTCTTTTCGAAAGGTTTAAACCAAATTCCAGACTTTCTTTACAAATAAATGCGTCTAATGGATCGTTTGGATCGTTTGGATCGATTCGACATGGAACCTATGTTCAATGATTCCGAAATGGAGGCTTTCTTTGAAAAGTTTGTTTTTTTGAAAAAATCGACAATAGTATTTGCTAGTTTTTCCTATAAAAAAACTTATAATTTGCTATTCTTCTACTTTATTTTAATACTTTAATATTTTAATAACATAAAATTAACTTTTGCCTACTTCTCTTTTCCTCTTTTTTTCTCTTATATTTTCCCGGTTGACTCATCACAAAAATCTCTTTTCTCTTTTCGAAAACTGGAAAGTTCGAAAACCTACTGGAAAGTTCCAGGGCTTTTTTCTGCACTTTCATAAAACCTTTCACACATCATTTTTTTGTGATTCAATATTTTCACGAAATTCATTACAAAACTTTCATAACAAAGCTTTCATTACAAAACTTTTACACATCTTTTTCTTATATCTTTATCTTTTGCACATTCCCGAATCAAGTTTTCCACTACTAATTTCTTTAAAAAGCACTTAATAGAATTGATTTATACATATTTGTGCATTTTGCTTGCTTGTAAACTTCTGTTTGTAATCTTTTTCTTTTCCTTTCCTTTCCTTTCCTCATTTCCCCCTTTTAACCTTTTCTTTACTGATCACTAATCGATAATTTCGAAAAGAGAAGGAAACGGGTGTCTGGTTGATTGAAAAAGGAGAGCAAAGAAAAAAAATCGGGTAGGGGAAAAGGCTCAGCCATCTCGTTTTTTTTTCAACCGATTTTCCCATCTATTTTTTCTCTTTTCAAGCCTTATTTTGAAATGCGTTAATTTCATTTCCTTTTTCACTCCCAAAAATCTCTACTTGCCAATGTTTATTTCTGAAATTTTCTTTGCTTAGTTCAGCTTTTGGAAGAAATTTTAAAATTTAGAGGAGGCGAAATTAGAATCGATTTCTTTTCTTTAAAATCAGGGCCTCTGTTCCTCTTTTCTTTGAGTATTTCAGCCTATCTTAATGTCTTAATCGTTAATTTAACTATAAGATCCTAAAATTCGTTAAACTATAAGATCCAAGTTTGAATTGATTGACTTAATGAATCTCTTCAATCAATTCTCCGACCCCGAAAACCCCCGGGTACAAATTTCCAGCCAAATATCTTCTTTTTATATCATCTACAAAACAAAAGAGAAAGGCCTGTAAATGACTGGCATGGTGTCCGTTGTGCTCGTAATCGCTCGCCGTCTAGCACACCGTTCGGGTATAAAAGGCTTCCCTTTTGGAGTCCGTAAAGGGGAAGGAGCGATGAGCGTTTTCAATAGTTTTCGACATTCGCTTAAAACGCTTTTCTCGCTCGCTGTCATTGGCAGTCGGTGGCCGAGGGGATAAGGTGCCTGTATACAAAGCGAGTCGTGCATTCTCTGCTCGGGTTCGAGTCCACGCCTCGCAAATTTCTCTGCTCCTTTGATTTTAACGAAACTAAAACAAATATATTTTGTTTCTTTTCATTTCCCCCTCTATCTTTCAATAAATAAAGAAAATTAACAAAGAAAAGATGATCGAAAATGAGATTTGATTTCAGTTAACCGGTGTGGTTTCGAAAATCCTTCACGTACAACCTAATTTTTTCATTACTAAATTATTTTTTTCCTCTAGCTCTTGTAGCATTAAATATATACAATAAATTGCACATTCTGTGAAATCATTTTATTACTTAAACAGTAGCTAAATGCAGAGAAGAATACGATTCGCGCCTGAGGCTGAGTTGATTTTTTGATTTTACTGAGAATCGATCTAATACGGTCCTTTAAAAAGCATTTTTTCAAATAAAACAACAAAAATATTGGGTTGGTGAATTGAAAACTGCGATTCGACGAAAACGCCGTGAATCGATGGCGATACGACGAGAGAGTCGAGCCACGAGGGTTGTGGCCGCTATTTTGAGTAAGTAGAGTAAGTAGACGGTAAATAGAAAATAGAAATAGAAATAGAAATAGAAATAGAAATAGAAATAGAAAATAGAAAAGTTCACGGGAAAGCACTGCTGAAGGCAGTCATTTATCTGAACTTTTTCTATGATATTGGGTTGGTGAATTGAAAACTGCGGGCTATTGTCATATGTGACAGTTTGAGCACTTTCTTCAAAAGAAACCCATTTTGGTGTCAATGGAAAAGTTGTAGAAAATCAAAAATCAAGCTTATATCCAAATTTTCAGAATGATTTAAAAACTGGTTTTCAAGAAATGCGAAATTTACGAATTTTCACAAAACTTGCATTTTAAGCGAAACTACTAAGTGTATCTTTTTGGAAATTTGGCTATAAGCCTAATTTTTGATTCTCTACAACTTTTCTATTGACACCAAAATGGGTTTCTTTTGAAGAAAGTGCTCAAACTGGGACATCTCCAGGACAGCTCCAGTCCTCCATTTTTGAGTCTCACACTTCTCTCACACACAAACCAAAATCCTACTACGAAAGAGGAATCCGCAAATTGCCTGTAAAATGGGCAGAAGTCGTCAATAATAATGGAAATTATTTGGAATGAATTTATGGCTTTATGTTCAATAAATTTTGGTTCAAAGTCCCGCAGTTTTCAATTCACCAACCCAATAAGAAGAAAGTTTCGTTAAGAATCCCTGGTCTTTACTAGGTTCTAATGAGCTAATCGTCTTGAAACAGAATCAAAACTAATCCGTCAAACATGAAAAACTAAAGTGAGCTTTGCATTTCAGTGGCTTTCATCATTTGCTGGCAAAATGCCATGTATAACTTGATAATCAGCATTGTTGTAGACTAAACCCTCATCTTTTTTTCTTTTTCTGATTCGTTTCTCGACGGGTTTTTGAAGAATTGCTCTCTATTTGGCTAAGGCTATAGACACGAGAAGAATTTCTTTCTTTCTTCTTTTCTCTTCAATCCTTTTCAAAGAAAAGCGTCGATTTTGCTCTCCTCTACACATTTTATTCACACAAAACATCAATCATTTGTTATTGATCTTCTTTTTTGATATTCCAACTTTCCAACTTTCCAATGACTCCAAATCCAGTTTATCCAAATCCGTGGAGGATCAAGTTGAGGAGGTTGTTGAGCAAATAAATCAATCAATTTTCAAAACTAAACACAAGTTTAAATCTACTTTTTGAATAACTTTAGACTTAATAGAATATTAAGCCTAAAGATGACTTAATATTCGATTTTTCTATTCAAATCTTTCTCTTTCAAAAGCGATTCAATAAAAGCCGACTGAATAGCCATTTCCCATATTTTCAGCTTTCAATTTTAACATTTCTAAATATTAGAAATCATAATATAGATAAAAATAATATTTTCAACTTTTCAGTCCCTTCCAAAACACGGCACGAAGAATGAGCGGTCCACGGGTTGTGCCCGTTCATCTTTTGGGGTGAGTTCAGTTTTGAAATTGCTTAAAAAGCTGAGTAATTAAATGATTGGTTAGCTAATTAAATGATTAGGTTAGAAAAAAGCAAATTTCCCATTTCATGACTCCAAAATAAACAGTACAGCTGATTTTTGTGGATTACGTGGGTGGAGAGGAGAAAACAATCATCAGGAGGCTTTTTTTTCCTTTGTTGAAAGAACAGTATTTGAACCACCGAGGTCGAGAGTATTTGCAAATAATTGAGATTTTGAGCAAAAATTTCGAGAGAAATGAAAGAAACGATGAGTAATTTTGGAGTAAACGACGGGGGATTTTGTTTGGGAAAAGTTTGAGAAAGGAAAATCTTTGATGGATTCGGGTTTTGATTTGGTTTTGTGAAGGGGAAGTTTAAGGAAATCTTTGGGAAAAGAGTTATTGATCTTGGTTTCGAGTGAAATTTCGAAGATGAGCTTTAAAGGGCGCTTTTCAATCGCTCAAATAAGAGCGCTGGTGGCCTAGTGGTTAGTGGGATGGTCTCTCACGCGATCAGCTTTAAGTGAACGGCGGGTTCGATCTCTGTCGTGGTTTTTGGTTTTTATTGAAGGTAAGCTTTTCAATCTGAAATTTAATCTTTTAATTTCAATAAAAGTACTGGTGGCCTAGTGGTTAGTGGGCCAGCCTCTCACCCAAGCAGCTATAAGAGAACAGTGGGTTCGATCCCCGCCGTGGTTTTTGGTTTTGTTAAATTTAATACTGTATAGATTTTTACCTATAAAGCTCGTGATGTAAGTCCAAACTTGTAAAATTTCAGTTCTGCGAGCAATCTGGCTGCTCCACGTGGACCCGACGGTCGAGCCTCGGTCTCTCCATCACCAGCTCGCAAATTCGACTCTTTACCCCGTCAAATGCCCTCACATCAACAAAGACAACCGAGTCCACTTCCACCACAACCACCACAACAACAAACATCGAATTATCAACAACATCAACAACATCAACAACACCAACAACATCAACCACAACAACAGCCACAACAATATTATCAAGATCCACCAAAACCGACGGTTAATGTCACTCCGAGCCCCGTTCAAACGCCAGTCAAACCTCCACAAACGATCTTGCAAAAGTGATTTTATAAATTGACTTAAGTAGAAAAATTCTAAAGATTGTTCTAACGAAAAAACGATTATTTTCAGAAGAACCTCGGTGGAAGATTTTGGCGATCAACTCGTGAACATGTTAGATGATGTGGAGAGACGAGTGGAACAGTTCAGGTAACATCAGAAAAGCAATCCAGCTTTAAGTTTATTACGTTTATTCGCACGAATAATGTGGCACAAACAATACACGACCACAACCCCAATATATATAGTAAAAAAAGAACCAATAATCTAGCCGGATTGAACCCGACCAAGATATTGGACTCTTGGCCAGTCGGCCATGACGATCTTTCTGTGCACTGGTAAAATACTCAATTCTTTCAGAGAAACCGCCGCACAGCTTGAGGCCGAAAAAGATACAATTCTCGAGATGTTGAACAATGTGAATCTGAATACGGAAATGCTTCGATTGGGTGAAGGTTTGTGATTTTAAATTTAACAATATTGAACAATTGAACAATATTGAACAACAACAATTGAACAACAATACAATACAATAACAACAATACAACAACAACAACAATATAACAACAATTGACCAAATAGCAACCAAAATACATTTTTCCTTTCAGGAGAACGAGAAGATATCAATGCGATCGCAAATCGACTCTTGTTGAGAACGAAAACTGTTGATGTGAGTTTCAGAAAATAGAATCAAACCCTAAGCAAGTTTAGAAGTTAAAGATTAGAATCTTTTTAGCTAAATTTCTAGATATGGCTTTAGATAGATGGAAGTTGAAGCAAGCTATTTAGATTGTTGTGAACACGCCACGTAATCCGGAACAGGCGAAAGCGCTCGAATCGGTGAATGGATTGATCGAGGGAGTGATGGGCAAATTGCAACAAGATCTCTCCGATGGAAAAGAGGTAAAAGAGGGTATTTGTAGCAAAAATTTTCACATTTTCACTAAAATTCGTTTATTTTCATCAAAATTGCCTCCATTTCAGACTTGTCGTCGCTATTTGAATGCTTGTTCACCGGATCAACCCGAAGGGCCGATCGATCAACGATTCCAGGCACAGGTGAGCAAAAAGCTTCTTTCAAAAGATTTCAAAAGAAGAAAAGCTTAATTGTGATGCTAATATTTGAATGTTAACTCTTTAAAAACAATTCCGGTTTCCAGATAATCGAATGCACTGCCGATGATCAGAAGAAAATTCGGCGAAAGTTGGCTCAAATGATTCAACAAATCGAGCGCACTGAGAGGACTTGTTTTCCACAATATTAAATGAAAAAAAATGAAAAATAAACTGTATTTAGCAGAAATTGCATAATTTTATACTTGAAATTCATGTATTAAGTTCAAAATGCGAGTTTTAATATAAGAATTCGATTTTCTTTTTTGTTTTTGCTCTTATTTGATTGTCATCTCTTGATTTGGTACGGTTTTTGTGGTGATACCCCCTACTTATCCCAATTTCATCTACAATTTACAGTTTATCACTTTTCAATTTCATTATGATTTATTATTCGAAATGAATTCGAAATGAATTAGGCATTAACTTTGTTCATTTCTCTTTCTCTTTCAAATAAACCTTGTAATTGATACCTTGTATTTGATAGAATTTTGAGGTTTTGGTATGTTTTTGTTTTCCATTTTGGTTTAATAAAACGTTTGATGTATGGCCAAAAAGGTTTCTCGTTTGAAAAATGCAACTTTTCAAATAGATTTTGAAAAATCACTTCGAAATGTCGAAATTCGAAAGTAAATTGAAATGTTGAGGCTGTAAAAATGTTTATTCGATTAAAATTATTCGAGATTAAAGCTATCAGAAAGAGATCATTCAAAGAAAGTTGCACTAAAAGAATCCAAAAAAAAGAGAGAGAGAAATTGATTGATTGCTTGATTGATTTCATTGATTTCATTGATCTCTCGATATTCTCAACATTCTCCGAAGAGTCACTCGAAAATTCTTATTGAGGCACATGTAGATCACCGGATTGAAACACGAATGCGCGTAGCCGAGCCAACTGAAATCGGAAATGCAAAAAGAGTTTGCCTGTGCCTGTGCCTGTGCAAGATCTTTTCGCAACTCTTTTCATTGCAAAACCCAAAGCCAATCCGATTCTCTTGGGGCTTTTCTTGGGAAAAAGGGTTAAAATAAACTTTAATAATAGATTCTGCGCCCCAGGTACAAATTTTTAACACCAAATCTTTGAGAATCATTTAGAGAAAAAAAATCACTGTGTAAAGTACCTGGCGAGGTGTTCCTTGTCCGCGCACAATCGCTCGCGATCTGGCATAGGACTCTGGCATAAGGTACTTTCCTTTTGAAATCCGTCAGGGGAAGGCGCGGCAGAGGCGCAGCCAGAGCCCGCACGCAGCGCCCCGGGAGCCCCGGCGCCCCGACACCCATCGGCAAAACGCCCCACAGTCCACAGTAAAATTGGAAGTGGCATCGAAGGACTCGAAAAGCGTTTCAGCAAACGGAATTAGCCTGAAATTATTCAAAAATTAACAATTAATCAAAAACACATTCAGAGTCCCTTTCTAACTTTTTCTAATTTTTTTCTAATTTACTAATGCAAAACCTACTGAATGATCCTACGAAATGCTTCTAAAGTATTCGCTTCGCCTGATCCAAACGACAGCTCGTCCAAGCATAAATTCGTCAGCTGTTTTCCCCTCGCCATCGAATCAGTCGGGCGGCCGTCCGTTTGGCGTAGACACATTTCTCGGAGACCGTAACAAAATTTGTCCCTCAACGTTCTCTCTTCGTGGGCCTTTTGTTCCGCCGCCATCGCTTTTCGTTGAAGAAGCTTTCGGATTTCCTCAATGGCAAGCAGTACCTGAATCATTCAATTTGATGAACGAACTCTCACCAACCAAAAAAATTCTCAAAATATCAATCATTTAATTTAATCCGTAGACTAAAACTAGGGAATAAGCTAGTGAAATTGAATACCGTGATTGAGGAGATGACTCCGCAATTATTAGCCGGGGCTCCAGTATTCTTCACATTTTGAATCGTCGGCGACTTATCGTAAAGGTTATGGTCCCAATCGTCTAGTGCAGCGAGGTTGGGCTTCTGAAAATAGAATGAACAATTTCTGAATCAAACAAAAATTTCAAAACAAAACATATCAATAGACGCCAGACTTCTATAGCATGACGCTCTATTAGAAAAAATATTGTATCTATATTACTATTAGGTTGTCCGGAAATAAATGAGCGTTTTTAAGTTGAATATTTAAAGTACCATAACTTGATCCAAACAAAACTTTATTAATCGAAATAAGAACCATTACAATTAACACATTCTTGCCAACGAGAAACAAGTTTATTTATGCCGGTAGCATAGATGTCCGGGCTTCTGGTGGCGATAAAGTCGGCGAAGGCGTTTTTGGCATCGTCTTGAGTGTTAAAGCACTTCTCCCGGAGAAAGTTGTCGAGGTGCTTGAAAAAGTGGTAGTCGGTAAGCAAAAGATCAGGCGAATATGGCAGGTGAGGCAAAGTTTCGTAGCTCAGTTCGTTTAGCTTTTGCAGGGTCGGTTGTGCGACGTGCGGACAAGCGTTGTCGTGGAGAAGAATTGGACCTTTTCTGTTGACCAATGCCGGGCAGATTCGCCGCAACTTCTGGTGCATTTGGTGATTTGTTGGCAGTACTTCTTCGCCGTAATCGTTTCGCCCGGATTCAGAAAGCTGTGATGGATTAGACCGGCTGCGGACCACCAAACAGTCACCATAACCTTCTTTTGGTGCAAATTTGGCTTTGGAAAGTATTGTGGAGCCTCTCCGGCGTTCAAGCACTGAGCGGAACGTCGCCGATTGTCGTAGAGGATCCACTTTTCATCACACGTTACGATCCGGTCGAGAAATGGATCGTTTTTGTTGCGCTGAAAAAGAGCAGACGACACCTCAAAACGACGATCTTTTGATTTTCGTTTAATTCGTGCGGCACCCATTTATCGAGCTTTTTTGACTTTCCAATCCGTTTCAAGCGGTCAGAAATGGTCGCCTTGTCCACGCCAAGCTCCTCCGCAAACTTTCGAATAGTCGTACGTGGATTTGCTTCCACCAGGGTCTTCATTTCGTCGTCATCGAGTTCAACAGGACGGCCAAGGCCTTCCTTATCTTCGAGATCCAAATCATCACCTCGGAATTTTCGGAACCAAGTTCGCACTGTTGACTCGCCGACACTGCCTTGGCCCCAAACTTCGTTAATGTTACGAGCCGCTTCAGCTGCATTGTGACCGAGTTTGAACTCATAAAAGAAAATCTGGCGAAAGTTAGTTTCGGACATCTAAAACGGCGAAGCTTAAAATTCGCAAAAAATTTTATTTTCAGCAAAATTTAAAAGCAGGGTTAAAGAGAGTGCGAACTCAGCTTTCTAATGGTATATAACATTACAAGGTACAGAGCATACTTTATTGGGAAAAATGTACCCAAATAATAAACAATACAAAACGCTCATTTATTTCCGGACAACCTAATAATTCCAAACACTAGCATCAATTGAGATCAAAAGAAATCCTCGAGAATCGACTATCATCAAAAGTTAGCAGTTTAGGAGTTAGCAATAATAATGCAAAACCTACTGAATGATCCTACAAATCCAGTATTCTTCACATTTCACATTCAGCTTTCGGATGTCCTCAATCTCCAGCAGCTTCAAGAAGATATACTCCATTTCGTGAAACATGTTCGAAGCTGAGCGGCAAAGATCTGGGATACTCTCCTTCGGGCAACTAAAATCCGGGTGACCGGAGATTGGCACAAAATCACAAAACTAACCATTTTCAAATCTGTCAGTGAATAGAGTTGAGCGTAAATCTCGGTTAAAATTTGTCCCAGTGGAGAAAATCTAAATATGTAAAAGCGTCAGAACATAAAAATAAAGGAGAACCTTAACATCAACATAGCAGCTGCCCTATCATCAAGTCGCACACTTCTACCGGAAGAAAATGAAGTCTAAAATATGCCATAAACCATAATCAAAGAAAAAGGCATACATGTTTCAGCATTGCAGTGCAAACAAATGAAACAGTCTTATATGGCCAACACGAGGGCAAGCGATTCCGGGACGGCCCTAAAATAAGAGCAATCTATTAAAAAGTTTGGGAAAATTGGATTACCGTTCCTATTGACTTTCGATACGCTAACAAAGCATCAACAAAAGCATTGATAGTCGCTTCCCGTGCATCAGTATTTAACGATATTCAGTCCCATTTGTTGAAAGTTATTTTTCCTTCTCGAAAACTTCGCTGTCACAGGTCCCCCGACACAGACAAGAGGTTATCGTCCTTGTGAATGTGAGACAAGTGAAAAATAAAAGGCCATACTAGCAAAATGTAAAGTTATTCAGTTTGGTTGACTGAGTATACGGTAAGTAGAGCGGAACGCTACTTGACACTATTTTAAATTAACAGAAAAGACTAGGTTTCGTTAGGATGTGAACATTTTGAAAACTGATTTTCTAATTTTATTTCGGTGTAAGTCGAGGTGTAAAATTTGCATAACGTTTGTTCGTTTATTTGCATATAAAAAATTCTGATGAAAGAAATGATTCTGATGAAAAAAATTTACATCTATTTCGCGTAATGGGGTACTTTTGGAGTTGAAATTCATTTTCAAATCCTCTGCTCTCATGGGGTTGGTTTTTTAAAATTTTGTTTTAAATAGTCAATGACGTTTACGGCACTGACTATTTTATCAAAAGGTGGCCTCAGTACTCATTGGAGACAGAAGAATTAGCAAATTTGACCCTGCGACCGTTTAGTCAAAATCATGCGATAGTTTTAAAATGAATTCTTCTTGATATAAATAGATTTTTGATTGTTCTTGTGAATTGGAAATTCAGTTATTAATTATTGATTTAGTATTAGTATTTATTCAATATTAATTCAGTCAATTCTCCTCTACTTCTGCTCGTCGATCGCGACTTCAGAAGAAAAACGAACTTGTGGAAGTGGATTTCTCGGACGCCTCAATTTCGATTCCCCCACTGGCTCCTGATGACGATGATCATACGGTGAGTGATTGTTTCAAAAAGTCGGAGTTTAATGTACGGATGATATACATGACTGGTTACAAAGACGAAATTTTTCTTTTGATGATAGTCGATTCTCGAGGATTTCTTTTGATCTCAATTGATGCTAGTGTTTGGAATTAGTAATATAGATACAGTATTTTTTCTAATAGAGCGTCATGCTATAGAAGTCTGGCGTCTATTGATATGTTTTGTTTTGAAATTTTTGTTTGATTCAGAAATTGTTCATTCTATTTTCAGAAGCCCGACCTCGCTGCACTAGACGATTGGGACGATAGCCTTTACGACAAGTCGCCGACGATTCAAAATGTGACGAGTACGGGAACCCCGGCTAATAATTGCGGAATCATCTCCTCAATCACGGTATTCAATTTCACTAGCTTATTCCCTAGTTTTAGTCTACGGATTAACATAAATGATTGATATTTTGAGAATTTTTTTGGTTGGTGAGTGTTGGTTCATCAAATTGAATGATTCAGCTACTGCTCGCGATTGAGGAAATCCGAAAGCTTCTTCACAGAAAAGCGAACGCGGCCGCCCTAAAGACAGACAGAACGGTGAGGGACAGATTTTGTTACGGTCTCCAAGAAATGTGTCTACGCGAAACGGACGGCCACCCGACTGATCCGATGATGAGGGGACAACGGCTGGCCCGTTAATGCCAGGACGAGCTATCGATTGGAACAGGCCCAGCGAATACTTTCAAAGCGTTTCGTAGGATCATTCAGTAGGTTTTGCATTAGTGTAGCTAACTTCTAAAGTTAGAAAGAAACTCTGAATGTGTTTTTGATTAATTGTTAATTTTTGAATAATTTCAGGCGAATCCCGTTTGCTGAAACGCTTTTCGAGTCGGACGATGCCAATTTTAAAATCATGAGGCCCTTGAATACATCCGAAGAAGCGCTTTCTCCTGCATTTGGAGGAGTTACAAGTAATTTTTACAATTTTTTATATGATTTCTTTCCTTCAGTACCGTCAATAACTAATCCACAAATTTAGAAGGTGTGATTGGTTGGTTGGAGGCTGTGAATGCTAAAAGCTTCAGCGTGGACTTCGCGAAAACCAAGAATCCATATCTCAGCATCAAGGATTGGAGAGAGCTGGATCACAGTGTTGCCTGGCTGAAGATTTCCGATGATGAATTTGAAATGGTAAGGTTTTAAAAAAAAATCTGGATTGCCTTTAGAGACTAAACAGTTTTGTTTATCAACAATATTTTGTAACAAGGTTGTCTAGCAAAGCCCAGAATGTAGGATTACTTTTATGAATAGGCGTTCGATACATATTTTTTATTTGGGCCTCAATGTTTATAATCATATATTGATAGTGTGCTCCCATTGGAGATTTCTAATTCTCAATTAATATTGCAGTTAATGGCAATTTCAGTTTAGATTTCGAACGAGACACATGCACAAATGAAACCGCACGAGAAAGTTCATCTGGAAATGGTGGTGATGAAAAGGGATCAAGCTAATCTCCATTGAAAATTGTGATTCATGAATGTTCTATTCTTTTCACCGAATTGTATGTCATAACATGTTCTTATCTTCTTCTGAAGATAATTTAGTTTCATTCTTGTGTCTGTTTTGACTTGCGTTCAGTTTAGCTCGGACCTGATCCAATTGAACTTGTGATTCATAATATTTGCATTAGGCTAATTTGTCCTCCATTTCTTTTTCGGTTGTAATCCTTGGTTTTTTTGGAGACGCGCAAATAAATACGAGAAACCCAAAATAATCACCCAACCAAACGACGAATCGATTTGCACGATTTCTTGCACGATATCACCAGCTAAATTGAACGGCATGTACGCAGATGTTTGATGCTTTCGTGCCTATTGGCATGCTTTGGGCTCAGTTACTGCAGGACTGCAGGCCAAAGTCAAGCCATGACTTGAGAGGGTATTGATCTAGAACTTTTTCATTCCTACCGTGATTCGGTAGTCGTTATTTATTTTCTTGGAGCTGATAGTATGTTTTGAAGCCAGATTATGTTTATTCTACGTTCGGTCTTATCGCCACCAGGCAATTTATATATCAGCCTTTTCATGGAACGAAACTTAAATAAAAACCCGGTGGAGTCGAGCTCCTGAGGTCCTTCTTGGTACAAAGCTAGTTTCACTGGTATGTGTCGGCATGTAGAAAACATTGTTTGTATGTTGTGAACCTAGTATCATTTCGATGGGTATGTGTTGTTATCTGGGGCTTTTTGGTCACCACTAGTTTGATGGTATCGAAAAAACGCTTCGGAAATTTTCATGGTTACCTTTCATATTCAGGCTTAGATTGTCGTTGGCTGAAAATTTAATTAAATTTTATTATGGCTAAGAGACGTAGCTCACAGAATGGAAACTAAGAAAGGAGGGAGGTCGAACAAAATAACAAATTTCCCGTATTAGCTAGATCAAAATCAAGACTCAAAAATACATACATATTTCAATGAACTTGGAAAGAGTAAAAAACATCTTGGATGATAGGCATGTTATGATCAAATCCTCCTCCTCGCGTGTCGTTATTCGGGGACAACTTTCAAGAAACATTGGTAACGGCTCAGGACTCCCATTCTACCAAAAAAAAGCATGTGATGACGATCGGCAACCGAGACAGACGAGACTTTGGTCGAGGCAAACACTTCCCTCATCTCCCGCAAGCCAGAAGGCGAGCAATTGGACAAAGGATCACAGGGACCGAGTTCTCCTTCCATGTTGCTTCTATAAAATATTTCTCGAATTTTCTCTGATTTTTCTGAGAAATTCTCTATACGAGTGAATATCTGGCCAATAATTGACTGGAACCTGGGGAACTGTGCGGAAAATTGGTGATGAATATGGATTGTGACGTACTCCAGACTGGAAACAATTTCCCAATTAATGAGAATATTCTCAAGTTCTTCTTGCAAACCATCCAATGAGTATCGTCTTATCAGAAGCATCTTTTTCAGACATCTCTTCACGTTTTCTTCTGCAAGCCACTCGAAAATTCTCGACCCCATCGTTGTGGGGATCTCCACTTTGCATTCATCGATGAGCTTTATTCTTTTGAGATTAGAGAGAAATTCATTTTCAAGATTTTTCATTGTTTGATAAAAAAACACGTCCAAAACAGAGACTGCTTGGATCCTGGGAAAAGGAAGTGAATTCACCAACCACTCCCATTTGGCTTCCATTTCCGTTTCCATTTCTAGACTTTTGTCGGTAAAGTCACAAATTTCCATTGTGAGGTCTTTGACAAATCGTGTTTTGTTCAGAGTAAAAAAAACGGCTTTACTCATAGTCGGGTTCATAATGAGAACTCCTTCGCGGAGGTTTTGCACTCTTGGATCGGTGATTTCCTCACTCTGATGAGGAATTCTAACCAACCAATCATTATATTTTTTTCTTGAGACTGTTATGCAAGTGACAAAGTGAAGGATTATCTGGTTATCTTGGTCCTGATAGTTTCGGACCGAGAAATGGTCGATCTCCTTTCCAAAAAGTCCTTCTGCTAGAATGTGTCTCCTGAGCTCCCAATTCACCGTCAAACAACGCACCCTCTCTTCGAAACGGACATGTTGAAAGATCCTTGCTCTTAACTCGATAGGCAATTTATCGATTGAGAATCGACGAAGGCGAAAACAAGATTTGAGGAATTCGAAACACTTGAATAACCAGCTGAATGTCCTCATCTCACTCAAATGGAGGAAGCCGTGTAAAAGAAATGGCGCAAATCTATCCGTCGTTGGTTGGGTGATTGTTTCGTATTTCCCGCATTCTCTGCCTGTCTGGTCTCTCCATTTCCCGCGCCTTGTGCTCTTGGCAATTAGATGAATCGTCTCAACTAAGCGAGGTGATTCGTGAGTTGGCTATTCAATTTGCTTTACTATTTTAGGAGAAAAAACCCAGAAAAGAAAAGTGAAATGAATAGAACTTAATCTTATTCAGACGGTCCTGCGATTCGGTGAGAGACTAGAACATTTATGAATCACAATTTCAATCGACATATTGAAAAAATAAAAATGTTTTTAACATTTGGTGCGGCCACCTTAGCTTTGATGATTTCTCTAACACGGTTAGGCATCGAGTCAACGAGAGCACAAAGCATAGCACAAAGAGTTGCTTGATTCTAATCTTTTTCCAAATTGCTTCAAGGTGATACCAAACCTCGATGAGCGGTAACTATCATAGAGGGTATTAAAAAAAACTAAAGGAAATTATTAAAGAGAAAAATGAACGCCAAATTAAGCGCTATTTGAATTCAAACACTTTATTGTCGTGAGTACAGCATTTTTACAGCCTCAACCTTTCAATTTACTTTCGAATTTCGACATTTTGAAGTGATTTTTGCAAAATCTATTTGAAATCTATTTGAAATCTATTTGAAAAGTTGCATTTTTCAAACGAGAAACCTTCTTGGCCATGTTCACAACAATCTAAATTGTCTGAAATTTTGGGCAACTATGTAAACGATGAAGCGTTTTATTTTGCGCTACTTTAAAAAGTATGCAATCACTCAGAAATATAATAGCTGTGTCTACGCCAAACGGACGGTCGCCCGACTGATTCGATGGCGAGGGGAAAACAGCTGACCAATCTATGCCTGAACGAGCTGTCGCTTGGATCAGGCGAAGCGAATACTTTGAAAGCCTAGATTTCGAACGGGATTTGCCCAACTTTTTAGATTTGCCCAACTTATTGTGCAACGGTGTGTTTCTTGTCGAAACGCCCGAGTGGTTTTTCAAAGATGAATGATTCAAAAATGAATGAAAAGAGAAAATTTTGAGTCCCCTTTTTCTCGAGCTTCTAGTTTTTCTCTATGATCTTCACCATTAATTGTCTCAAAATTCGTCGATGCTCTTTTGTTTCTTTTTCTTCGATCAGGGTTCTTCTAAGATTCCGTTTCAAAAGCTCTCTCAATTTGACACCTATAAATGTCTGTCTTTAATGAGAAAGCAAGATTTAATCGATTGGACAATATAAGTTAAAACAACTGTGCTTGTAGCCGATGCATCAGCATCAGCCTTGTGCAATTCGGAGCCAGGTGGAATTCCTCCTAAGCCTTCTACGTGAGCCTACCCATTGCATGAATCAAGAGTTGTACTGTCAAAAGGAATACATCGCTTAATAATGTCCATCTACGAATATCCATCGATATGTTTGATCAGTCGAGATGTTTTCTCAGTTATTCGAGCGATCATTAACTTTTCTGCCCTTTACGTAATCGTTGTTGCATCGCCGAAATTGATGAAAAAAATATATAAATACTTAGCATTCACGTATTTGATCCATATTTTATAACACAAAATCACTATATCAGATCCCCAGACACCGTCTTCGATGTCCTAGTGGTCTTGTACGATTTTGAAATGTACACACCGATGCTGGCTTTTCGTGTCTAAACTGTGTTCTTCGAGGTTCATGCGTTTTCTACAAGACGCTCGCGGAAAAACTTACCGTACCCACGACAATAAAGTGTTTGAATTCAAATAGCGCTTAATTTGGCGTTCATTTTTCTCTTTAATAATTTCCTTTAGTTTTTTTAATACCCTCTATGATAGTTACCGCTCATCGAGGTTTGGTATCACCTTGAAGCAATTTGGAAAAAGATTAGAATCAAGCAACTCTTTGTGCTATGCTTTGTGCTCTCGTTGACTCGATGCCTAACCGTGTTAGAGAAATCATCAAAGCTAAGGTGGCCGCACCAAATATTAAATACATTTTTATTTTTTCAATATGTCGATTGAAATTGTGATTCATAAATGTTCTAGTCTCTCACCGAATCGCAGGACCGTCTGAATAAGATTAAGTTCTACTCATTTCACTTTTCTTTTCTGGGTTTTTTCTCCTAAAATAGTAAAGCAAATTGAATAGCCAACTCACGAATCACCTCGCTTAGTTGAGACGATTCATCTAATTGCCAAGAGCACAAGGCGCGGGAAATGGAGAGACCAGACAGGCAGAGAATGCGGGAAATACGAAACAATCACCCAACCAACGACGGATAGATTTGCGCCATTTCTTTTACACGGCTTCCTCCATTTGAGTGAGATGAGGACATTCAGCTGGTTATTCAAGTGTTTCGAATTCCTCAAATCTTGTTTTCGCCTTCGTCGATTCTCAATCGATAAATTGCCTATCGAGTTAAGAGCAAGGATCTTTCAACATGTCCGTTTCGAAGAGAGGGTGCGTTGTTTGACGGTGAATTGGGAGCTCAGGAGACACATTCTAGCAGAAGGACTTTTTGGAAAGGAGATCGACCATTTCTCGGTCCGAAACTATCAGGACCAAGATAACCAGATAATCCTTCACTTTGTCACTTGCATAACAGTCTCAAGAAAAAAATATAATGATTGGTTGGTTAGAATTCCTCATCAGAGTGAGGAAATCACCGATCCAAGAGTGCAAAACCTCCGCGAAGGAGTTCTCATTATGAACCCGACTATGAGTAAAGCCGTTTTTTTTACTCTGAACAAAACACGATTTGTCAAAGACCTCACAATGGAAATTTGTGACTTTACCGACAAAAGTCTAGAAATGGAAACGGAAATGGAAGCCAAATGGGAATGGTTGGTGAATTCACTTCCTTTTCCCAGGATCCAAGCAGTCTCTGTTTTGAACGTGTGTTTTTATCAAACAATGAAAAATCTTGAAAATGAATTTCTCTTTAATCTCAAAAGAATAAAGCGCATCGATGAATGCAAAGTGGAGATCCCCACAACGATGGGGTCGAGAATTTTCGAGTGGCTTGCAGAAGAAAACGTGAAGAGATGTCTGAAAAAGATGCTTCTGATAAGGCGATACTCATTGGATGGTTTGCAAGAAGAACTTGAGAATATTCTCATTAATTGGGAAATTGTTTCCAGTCTGGAGTACGTCACAATCCATATTCATCACCAATTTTCCGCACAGTTCCCCAGGTTCCAGTCAATTATTGGCCAGATATTCACTCGTATAGAGAATTTCTCAGAAAAATCAGAGAAAATTCGAGAAATATTTTATAGAAGCAACATGGAAGGAGAACTCGGTCCCTGTGATCCTTTGTCCAATTGCTCGCCTTCTGGCTTGCGGGAGATGAGGGAAGTGTTTGCCTCGACCAAAGTCTCGTCTGTCTCGGTTGCCGATCGTCATCACTTGCTTTTTTTTGGTAGAATGGGAGTCCTGAGCCGTTACCAATGTTTCTTGAAAGTTGTCCCCGAATAACGACACCCGAGGAGGAGGATTTGATCATAACATGCCTATCATCCAAGATGTTTTTTACTCTTTCCAAGTTCATTGAAATATGTATGCATTTTTGAGTCTTGATTTTGATCTAGCTAATACGGGAAATTTGTTATTTTGTTCGACCTCCCTCCTTTCTTGGTTTCCATTCTGTGAGCTACGTCTCTTAGCCATAATAAAATTTAATTAAATTTTCAGCCAACGACAATCTAAGCCTGAATATGAAAGGTAACCACGAAAATTTCCGAAGCGTTTTTTCGATACCACCAAACTAGTGGTGACCAAAAAGACCCAGATAACAACACATACCCATCGAAATGATACTAGGTTCACAACATACAAACAATGCTTTCTACATGCCGACACATACCAGTGAAACTAGCTTTGTACCAAGAAGGACCTCAGGAGCTCGACTCCACCGGGTTTTCATCTAAGTTTCGTTCAATGAAAAGGCTGATATATAAATTGCCTGGTGGCGATAAGACCGAACGTAGAATAAACATAATCTGGCTTCAAAACATACTATCAGCTCCAAGAAAATAAATAACGACTACCGAATCACGGTAGGAATGAAAAAGTTCTAGATCAATACCCTCTCAAGTCATGGCTTCACTTTGGCCTGCAGTCCTGCAGTAACTGAGCCCAAAGCATGCCAATAAGCACGAAAGCATCAAACATCTGCGTACATGCCATTCAATTTAGCTGGTGATATCGTGCAAGAAATCGTGCAAATCGATTCGTCGTTTGGTTGGGTGATTATTTTGGGTTTCTCGTATTTATTTGCGTGTCTCCAAAAAAACCAAGGATTACAACCCAAAAAGAAACCGAGGACAAATTAGCCTAATGCAAATATTATGAATCACAATTTCAATTGGATGAAGGTCGCACCTAAACTGAACAGATCAAAACAGACACAAGAATGAAACTAAATTATCTTCAGAAGAAGAATAAAACATATTATGACATACAATTCGGTGAGAAGAATAGAACATTCATGAATCACAATTTTCAATGGAGATTAGCTTGATCCCTTTTCATCACCACCATTTCAAGATGAACTTCCTCGTGCGGAATCATCTGTGATGTGTCCCGTTCGAAATCTAAACTGAAATTGCCATTAACTGCAATATTAATTTAGAATTAGAAATCTCCAATGGGAGCACACTATCAATATATGATTATAAACATTGAGGCCCAAATAAAAAAATATGTATAAAAATATGATCATGGCTTTTTTTGATTCTCTCGTTATTGGAGATGAGAAGTGGATCCATTTCGATCATACTATTCGAAAACGGAAATGACTAGGGCCAGGAGAACAGCCAAATCCGACCGTGAAACCGGACATTCATGTGAAAAAGATCATGCTCTCAGTATGGTGGAATAACAAGGTGCTTGTGGATTTCGAGCTTCTACAACCCGGCCAAACAGCCACATCCGACCTCTACAAACAGGAACTTGATCGGGTCAATGAAACTCTCATTCGTTAAGGAGTAGACACATCAAAGATAAAGTTCATCCATAACAACGCTAGACCTCACTTTGCAAAAATGACTCAGCAAAAACTAGAGAATCTAGGATGGGAGGTTTTACCACATCCGCCGTATGCTCCCGATTTGGCTCCCTCAGATTACCTTTGATTCCGGTCGATTCAAAACTTTTTGACCAATGAGAAATTCAAAAACCGTGAAGATGTCCAAAATTGGGTGACCAAGTTTTTCGAGTCACAGCCGGCTGAGTTTTTCAAGAGCGGCATCAACTCTTTGCGCAAAAGATGGCAAGAAGTAATCAATAATAATGGTGAATATATTTTGGATTAAACTGTGTTGTTTCTGTTTTTAATGTAAATTTTGTCAACGACTAAAACGCTCATTTACATCCGAACAACCTAATAGATTGTTGTGAACATGGCCAAAAAGGTTTCTCGTTTGAAAAATGCAACTTTTCAAATAGATTTCAAATAGATTTCAAGTAGATTTTGCAAAAAATCACTTCGAAATGTTGAAATTCGAAAGTAAATTGAAAAGTTGAGGCTGTAAAAATGTTTATTCGATTAAAATTATTCGAGATTAAAGCTATCAGAAAGAGATCATTCAAAGAAAGTTGCACTAAAAGAATCCAAAAAAAAGAGAGAGAGAAATTGATTGATTGCTTGATTGATTTCATAGATTTCATTGATCTCTCGTTATTCTCAACATTCTCCGAAGAGTCACTCGAAAATTCTTATTGAGGCACATGTAGATCACCGGATTGAAACACGAATGCGCGTAGCCGAGCCAACTGAAATCGGAAATGCAAAAAGAGTTTGCCTGTGCCTGTGCCTGTGCAAGATCTTTTCGCAACTCTTTTCATTGCAAAACCCAAAGCCAATTCGATTCTCTTGGGACTTTTCTTGGGACAAAGAGTTAAAATAAACTCTGCCAATAGATTCGACGCCCCAGGGCACAAATTTTTAACACCAAATCTTTGGGAATCATTTACAGAAAAAAATCACTCTGTAAAGTACCTGGCGAGGTGTTCCTTGTCCGCGCGCACAATCGCTCGCGATCTGGCATAAGGGGTTTCCCTTTTGAAATCAGTATGGGTATCAGTAAACATGCAAAACTGTGTTTGTCTCATGGGCGGTTTGTTTCGAATGCGAATTCTTGAAAAGGCTGGAAATTTCTGATGAAAAAGTTGAAGATCAAAAGAAAACAGGTGAAAAAGAATCGAATTTTCTTTGAGTTTTGTAGATGATATTTCCGAGATTTCCGAAAACCAAAAAGTTTCACAGTTTTCTTATCCAAAATTATTCTGATGTAGTGATTAGTCTACAGAAGTTCTGTAGTGTACAGAAGTGTTACCTGGTTGCCACATAAAGCTCAGTGTGTAGCTCTCGATGGATATTCACTCTAAATCCCATCGAGATTCCCCGATAAACCGAGATGCAAAAATAGGGAAGCCAGCAAATGATGAAAGCCACTGAAATGCAAAGCTCACTTTAGTTTTTCATGTTTGACGGATTAGTTTTGATTTTGTTTCAAGACGATTAGCTGATTAGAACCTAGTAAAGACCAGGGATTCTTAACAAACGAAACTCTCTTTTTATTGGGTTGGTGAATTGAAAACTGCGGGACTTTGAACTAAAATTGATTGAACATAAAACCATAAATTCATTCCAAACAATTCCCATTATTATTGACGACTTCTGCCCATTTACAGGCAATTTGCGGATTTGCGGATTCCTCTTTCGTAGTAGGATTTTGGTTTGTGTGTGAGACTCAAAATTGGAGGACCGGAGCTGTCCCAGTGTCCCAGTTTGAGCACTTTCTTCAAAAGAAGCCCATTTTGGTGTCAATAGAAAAGTTGTAGAGAATCAAAAATTAGAATTATTTTTGAATTAGAAGCAAATTTTGTGAAAATTCGTAAATTTGGCATTTCTTGAAAACCAGTTTTTGAATCGTTCTGAAAATTTGGATATAAGCTTGATTTTTGATTCTCTACAGTTTTTCCATTGACGCCAAAATGGGTTTCTTTTGAAGAAAGTGCTCAAACTGTCACATATGACAATAGCCCGCAGTTTTCAATTCACCAACCCAATATCATAGAAAAAATTCAGATAAATGACTGCCTTCAGCAGTGCTTTCCCGTGAACTTTTTTATTTTCTATTCCTATTTCTATTTCTATTTCTATTTCTATTCCTATTTCTATTTCTATTTTCTATTTACCGTCTACTTACTCAAAATAGCGGCCACAACCCTCGTGGCTCGACTCTCTCGTCGTATCGCCATCGATTCACGGCGTTTTCGTCGAATCGCCCGTGTCACCTAAAAAATGCGAATGTTTTAAGTAAAAAAAAATGAGTAGCTGATCTCTAAAAGTTGATCTCTAAAAGCTGATTTATAAAAGTTGCTGACTTTTACATACCTTGCATAGCTGACAGTAAACTAACCTGTGTTGCTATTCGTCTCAATTTCCCGCGACTTATCCCATTGGATTTCTTGCTGTATCCAACTCCATCCACAGCAATTTCTACAGAAGGCCGAGCACAATTCGGAAAGTTCTACCAAATAATGGAAATAGCTCGCAAAAAGTGACTTACTTTGAAATCATTTGATAAAACGGCTGATCGAAGGGTTGACCAGGCACTGCTGCGTCTGAAAACGGGTTTTGAAAATCGATAGAAAATTGTTTGTTTTTATTTTTTGAACAAAAGCATTCTATCAGCATTTGTAAAGCAAAAACGCTTGAATGTTCGAGGTTTTCTTTACAAAATACCTACCGTAAATACTGTAATAGTACCCCACTCCCCTCGTACAGTCACGTAGTCGCAAAAGTTTTTTCGTCTTTCATTTTTCGAAGCGCCCGTACTTTCAAAAATACTTTCTTTGGTATCAAAAAATAGCTGAAATTCAGGGCTATTTTTTGATACCTAAGCGAACATTGTAGCATAAACCAGTGTCGAGAAACACTCGTTCAAAGCTAGACTACGCAATACTCCGTACCAGCATTCTGGGGGTGGGGTACTATTACAGTATTTATGGTATTTTATCCATTTAAAATGTAGCTGTTAAGTTACCCAATTCCCATAATTTCTCAAAGTTTCCTCACCTTGAATCGATCTCGAAAGTTGAGTCGGTTGCATCGGTGAGACTACTTCCATAGCTGTTCATCGAGATACGGCGATAGCTAAACAGACAAAAGACAAAGACTAAGCAGACATTTGAAATCTCAAAAGAAATTTGTATCACTCACGTATCACTGCTTCCACTAGCCGATGTGTAAGAGGAATGGGAAGAATTTGACGGAGCCGAGCTCGGTGATGGACAATCGAAAAGACGTGGAACCTAGAAAAAGCTTTGAGGATTTTCAAGAGTAATTTGTTCAAGTAATTTGTAGTTTCAAAAAAAAGTTTAAAATCAAAGACTGGATGGACTTGAGTCCATCCAGTCCTTGCAATGCAAAGGTGCAATGATCAATGGTGCAATGATTTTTGTGTGAATAGTTATGTTGCTTTTTATATTTCTTTCTTTTCTTTTGCTTCTTTATCTTTTAATATTCTTATTTTGTTTATAAATTATAAATTATAATAATCTTTCGAACCTGTAGGGAACCTGAGTGTTGATATTCAGTGTTGTGTTGCGGAAGAGCCGATGTGTTGATGCTCATCACAGCGGGAACCATCAAAAAAGTGGGTGCTGGGATACGATTGTGATTACGGAAACTAAAATTGAGGAAATGAAAAGAAGAGAAAGAGAAAGATAAAGCTTTGGTGTGAAAGTAAGAGAAGTTCTAATTAGAGTGTTTCTTGCGATAACAGATTGAATTTGGTATTTGAAAAGCTGACTCATTTTCTAAAGAGGCCATGCTTCCATTCAAAGCCATCAACTTATCGGGAAATCGAATTTTCACAAGCGAAATTGTTAAAACGGAACATTTTACACCCTGGACTTGTTTTGGCTTAAAGAATGGGCTGAATTGGGACCGATTCTCATTGGAATTATTGGCGAAGGGATGTAGAGATCGAGACAAAACTCTCAACTCACTAGGGAAAGGCATTAACTTGAGGTAAGCTTTGTCTGAACACCCAATGCACTTTATAGAATCGGGTATGGGGAAATCCAAATCTGAAATCCGAATCTGAAATCAAAATCTGTCAAAGGACTTTCCAAATGACTAAAACTGCCAAATGACTCTTCAATCGAGAATCAAATGGATGCTTTAAAGCGCTCTTTCTTAGACGCGCGAAGGTGTGTCGATGGCCTAGTGGATAACCCACTAGTCTTCCACCCACTCGATCAAGGTTCGGTCCCTAGTCTAACTTTTTTTGTTTTTCTTTTAGAGTAACTTCTAGCATTTTGCAGCTAGTTTCATTATTTCTCTTTTGCTTTGTAGATGATCCAAACTTGAGGCTTAACAAGTTAAACCGATTAAAGACCCCAGTTAGACTAATCGTATAGTTAAACTGACTAAACTACTAAGAGATTCGAAGCTGAAACTCATAAAAGAATCGGTTCTAATTCAGCCGTCACCTTTAAGAACTTTTATAATATCTCCAAAAAGCTAAACTGGGAAATCTTTAAAGAAAACTAAAGAAAGAATTATTGCTTTTCTGATAGAAGCGATTGTTTTCTATAAGCTTTTTTCTAAAAAAAAAAAAGGATTTTTGCTTTGCCATTCTACAAACCAATAAGTGCCGGTGATTTTGCTTGAAAATCTAGAAAAACGGAGAGATTTTCGTGTGTAAGTGAGTGCTTTTTGTGATTTTCTATTCGCACACCCTTACATTGAGGGAAAATTCCCGTGTTTTGTGGGCAAATTTTCGGCGAACCGCAAACGGTTCAGTAGGCAACGAGGTGTGGTTCTGAAATGATGGCCCACTAAGTTTCTTTCATTATATTCAAATCTAACATTTTAAAAGAACATTGTCTACATTTTAATCGTTTATCAAGCTCTAAATAACCTGTTCGAGGAATTGTTGGTCTTCAAAGTGATCGTTTCCAACTTTGACGGCTGATTCAATGTGGTGAGACTGAATTTTGATTGATTTCTCAAAATGATTGATCATTGACCATTGATTGCTTTTACAATTCTTATTGGTTTATATTATTTTTGTTTTCATTTACCTCAAAAGTGGCCTTAAACTTGCATCAGTTGATAGAGATTCTTGCATTGATTCGTCTTTCACCAAACTTGTCTGAAAGTTGACGAGTCCGATTTAGAGTGAGTCTTGTTTTAAAGGGGAAAAAAATGCTTTATATATGTGGATTAGTCTGAGAATCCTTAAGCAGGCCCGTAGTCAGGATTTCGATGTTTTTTTGGGAGAATCGCTCGAGCTTCGTCCAATCAATTTACTCATAAAGAAGAAAATTTAGTTAAATCTTTAGGCTACAATGAATCTTTAGGCTAAAAGAATCGACACGGATAAACGACACGGAAAATCGATCTCCTGGATAACGGCTATCGTTCCCCCCTTTCAGTTTTTAGTCGCTTTCTCAAAAACTAATAGATGGTTCTGGAAGTTCAAAATACCATTCGATAGCAAATCTTTTTGCGCATCTTTTGAAGGATAAGCCATTGCGAATGACCAATTGGGGGACGAGAAAATCTACGAAGTGTAAAGGGGGAAACTCCTCCCCTAAAGTGTCCCCCTGTGATATATCGATGTGTACAATTGAATATTCTGGGGTTTTCATTGAAAACAAACAAATATGGCAAATAAAAGTGATAAAACTAGAATTAAATACTCATATTTTGCAGAAAAAAAAGTAATTAAATATAGTAAAAGGGAGTGAGATATGGGGTAAAAAAAAGGACACTTTCGAAAAGTGTTCCCCTTTTTCTAACCCTCATATCTCGGCCATATTTGGGTCTTTTGGATCACTTTTTTTCTGTAAAATATGAGCATTTCAATTTTATTTTTACTGTTTTTTAAATGAAGAATGAATTACTCGAAGGAATCTTAGAATATTTCAACTGAAACCTTTAGGGAGATACTTCAGGCGAGTACTCTCCTCCTTTACACTTTGTAGATTTCCTCGCCATCCAATAAGCCATTTGCAATGGTTTATGCTTCAAAAGATGCGCAAGAAAATTTGCTATCAAATCGTATTTTGAACTTCCAGAAACATTGACTAGTTTTTGTGAAAAGGACACTCGAAAACTATCATACAAAGTGAATCTTGTTATCAGATTATCTTGGTAGTTTTCAATGACTTTCAATGTCATTTGAAGTTTAGGGGGACACTTTAGGGGGAGTACTTCCCCCTTTACATTTTGTGTAAATTGATTGGAGGCTTCTGGACGAAGCTCTAGCGATTCTGAAATCCAAAAACATTGAAATCCTTGTCCATTGAAATCCTGGCTTGTCAGGATTTCCTCTTGGATTCTCCTCTTCGTCCGCATAAACGGTGGACAATTGAAAGCGAAGTGGAAGGTTGAAATCCTGGCTTGTCCAAAAGTATCATTTTTCTCTCTCACGACAGATTGTTCTGAAATCAAATGCTTACCTCAGCTGTTGTTGCCGTTTTTTCGATCTCCGTCAGTTCAATCGAGTTTGGATTGAGTGCCTGTAGACAAATTATTGAATATAATCTCACGGCCAAGATGGGCCAAGATTCTTGAAATCTAATATTCAATTAGTTTACCGTATCCTCGGGATTCTCCTCTTCGTCCGCATAAACGGTGGACAATTGAAAGCGAAGTGGAAGGTGGAGTTCTGTAAGGGGAAATTGGTACTTGAGTAGATGACAATTAGGTCATTTGAACCATCTTAAGTCGAGTGGATTCGAGTAATGCTATTTTCTAAAGGCATCTATTTGAGAAAACTACCGTAGTCAAACACAGCCTTTAGCCAAACGACAATACCCATTTTATTGGAGAAAATTTTCTGAATCTGAAAAAGTAGATCTCTCGTGTACCAGGCAGGCAAAATTCTTGAGAAAAATGGCCTCAAAGTCCATGATTAATTTTGAATTTCCGTCACACCGTTTAGCTTCGAATGCTCAATTACGCCTTGTGAAAGGAGTTTCTTGTAGCCTAGTGGTTAGCGTGGGCGTCCTGTATGCGGTTAGTACCGGCGTTGGCTCGGGTTCGATCCCGCTCGCGAACAAGCTTTTTTGGGGTTTTGTAAAAGGACTAAAAACTGTTTTCAGGACCAGTGAGGACTATTTTTGTTTTCCAAGAAGAAGACATTGATCTTGGCTCTGACTTTGGCTTTAGCTTTGGCTTTGGCTGATTTTGTAAAGTTTAAGAGTTTACCTCCCTCCGAGTCCTCTCTACCCAATGAAGCACGTCGACGACCGGCACGGATTTCGCTGTACGCCTGAAAGTGGTATCGATATCGAACACTTTAACACATTCATAACAACACGATTTACCAATGGACCATACTAATGAGAATGAGTTTTTGTGTAAACTCAAGTTCTTAATTTCATGCATGAGGTTTTGTGATTTTCCCGTGCTATTTCCCTTCCAGCTTGTCTAAAAGCGTTCACAGGCCATCGATTTACTTAAGTTAGATGTTAAAATGAAGAGAAATCTCCACGAATCATTTATCTGAAAACGGATTAAAGAAATATTGAGTTTGAAGAAAGTTCCGAATGTTTTAGCAAGAGAAATCTCTCCGAGGAGCCGGGGAATTTGCATTCAAAGCTTTATAACTTTCTTTAAACCCAATATTTCTACAATTTGTTTTTAGATAAATGTTCTGCAAACATTTCTCTTTATTTTGACTCTTAATTTAAGAAAATTGGTTGTCTGTGAACGCTTTTAGACGAGCTGGAAGGGAAATAACTTACACAAAAATCAAAAAACCTTGTCGAGCTTGAGCTTGAGTTTAAATCTTCAGCAAATAATCAGTAAAACAGTAACGACTACGCGACTGTACGCTCAAAATGTCTTCGAATGTGTTAAGGAAAAAGCAAGAACTTAATAAATCACAAGCCCAAAGCTTAATTATTCTTTTTACTCACCTTATTGAATGCCAACATAATCGGTACTCCATTCGGTCGTCCATCCGAGCTATTCCTTCTTTTCTCCAATTTCTCTCGTTCTCTTCTTTCGCAGCATTTATCTGAGAACTTTCGAAATCGAGGCTCATCTTGTAGAAGTTTCAATTCGGCTTCCTAAAATCTTTTTATTCAATATAAACTTAGAAATCTCTACCATCTTTTCCCTTTGAATTGCTGTTTCATGTTCAGCTCGGAGAGCTCCAATGTTCGACGTTGACGAAATATCCATTGACGGTGGATCGGGTACTAAAAACAAAGTAGGAAAACTCGCTTTCTAAATCCTTTTTAATCTTTAGACAAACATCTCCTCACCAATAGACACTCTTTTCTTCGCAGCCACACTCCGATCATGCTCGAAAGTCTCCGCGCAAATTGTCGGACTGCGCCATCTAGAAAGCAAAACTAGATAAATATTTAGATTTAGATTTAGATCGACCTCTGCGGAGGCAATGCAACCGTGTGTATCTCTGGCTGTGAAGGGCTTCTTTCGCTCTTCGGTCCACTGCTTCTTCTTGTCGGCGATCCGCCAGATGAGCCCGTTTGCGATAAACGAGATCCACGACGGGAACGAACCTGAAAAGATGATGATAATAATGCGCAAATAATTCTAATACAACTATTAGATAGTAATATCATTTTAAAAGTTAATAGGTCTAAAAAATTTTCTATTTGTACTCGCCTTTTTTCATATTCAACGCAAAGAATCGAATACTTGACGCTTTTTTTGAGACTTTAACCATAAATGCTATGGTAAAAGTAAAGTATGATAACAAAAACCTAACATCCGAAGATGCTAGGATCACTATTAGATAGTAATATCCGAAGTTATATCATTATATCCGAAGATATAAAGGGTGACTGCAAAGTATAGCGACAACTTTTTGGAGTAGCTGAGAAATGTCTACTTTATTTCAAAAGTGGCAAGTGTTATATAGAGAATTGTAGCCCTAATGCTTGGCAACATTTATCTACCAAAAACTTCCCGATTGGATTTATACAACTAATTTAACAAGCGCTTGAATGCTAGTCGACATATCTTCGGTGAATCTGTCATTTTCCACGGTCTTCATTGAAATTTCATTCGGAAAAGCTTTTTTCAGTCAAATTTGTGGTAACTTTGTTCAAAAAAGATTTTTTCAACAAAGTTCTAGTGCCAGAACAGCTGATACAACAAGATACGTATACTGAATATCGCAAACAATCAATTTACACCTTTTCCATGCTCCTTCAAAAGAAAATACTTGATATTGACTGAAATTTTAGTTATGCCAGTCCAGCCAAAACGTTGATTGTAATTCTTGATGTTATTAAGTAATGTAAACGCTATTTTTTCATTGAAGAAAAGCTTTTCTTAACAATTTTTAATAGAGAAAAGTGGCCAAATGACAGGTTCACCGGAGAGACATCGACTAGCATTCAAGCGCTTGTTAAATGAGTTGGATAAATCCAATCTGGAAGTTTTTGATAGATAAATGTTGCCAAGAATTAGGGCTACAATTCTCTATATAACACTTGCCACTTTTGAAATAGATTACACATTTCTCAGATACTTTTCTAAAAAGTTGTCGCTATACTTTGCGGTCACCATGTAAGGAGTAATATAAAGGTAAGAAGGATGGCTGGGGCAAATTAGTTTACTATAAATAATATGAATATTCTTCTTTCTTTCTTTCTTCTTCCCTCTTTTTCTTGGTAAGTTAAGGTACCAAATAGGTGAGTGGTTAGAGCAATTGGAAAACAAAAGGTCGAGGGTTCAATCCCCTCTCCATACATCTACTTTTCTTGTCACTTCCTTTACTTCTTTATTATTCACTGTTACCGAATCCCTCAAACCTCTTCAATGATCACTCTCGGCAATGATCTTTTATGATCGGGTTGTCGAGTACTCTGTTGACCGAACATGTAAAGTTGATGGTTCCGTAATTTCTAAAACAAATTTAAATCTTAAATCTTATATTAAAATTTCAAATTCTCAAAGCATATCCTTCAAAGCAAAATATCCACAAATTACCTGAAAGATTTTCACATACATGTAGACGACAATGATACCCGGAAGAAAGAAGGAAAGAAGTGAAGAAAGGACCTGAAATTCGAGAATAAAAATAGAGTGTTTATTCACCCACCAAATATTGAGGGTTATCAATCCAGCAAATTCGCTCATTAACTGGATTTTGCTCCATGAAAAGAGATGAGGAGACACAAAAAGCCATCAACCAAATCATCACCTAGACACCAAACTTGTTGAACACCTTGTGGCAATCAGGTGCTCTTTTCTTTTTCGACTCACCACATATGGAGTGGTCGATGTGCTGACACTATGTCGTTGATATTCGGTTGGAAACATGATTGCGAAATAACTGCAAAATTTGTTTGAAGAATTAGAATTAATTGAGCCAATAATTCAATACAAATATGTAAGGAAACAGTTTTTTAAAATGCAAAAAACTTTGGCGAACTTGGTGGGACTCGAACTTGGAAGAAAAGAATGTGAAAGATTCGGTAGTCTAGTAGACTCTCCACTAGATTACCCAGACAGTTTTTCGGGTAGCGTATGGCAGCCTCATAAGCCTCATAAGCCTCGAATGGGACAGCCGCATAAGCCTCGAATGGGGCAGCCTCATAAGCCTCGAATGGGGCAGCCTCATAACCCTCATAAGCCTCATAACTATTCGAAAACTCGAAGGCCAAGGTTCTATCTTAAATATCTCGCGCTTCCAAAGCGTTCTACAAAAACTAAAAACGGATTCGAGATCCGGATAGCCGATTCTTTAAGATGGACTTTATCTCGAGTCAAAATGCCAGCTTAACTGGTATTATTCTCTTACCAGAACTAACTGAGCCCAACCTTTAGTGGCCAAGCAACTTTTCAACTCAACCCAAAGAGAGTTTCATCACTGGTAAACGAACCGATCCAAACTGATTGCCACAAGGTGAACAATAGAAGCGGTTGTTGAGAAAACGCCGGTAACAAGATGAAATTGACACCAGGTGTGACCGAGGATCCACAAATCGCCGTGCATCTGAAATTTTCGTAAATTTGATATGATTTCAAAATAGTACTTTAGCATGAAGCGAGAGTGGCATAACGACAAGACCGACAAGGAGATCTAAAAATCGAAATGGTTAAGCATTGGCATTTTGTAGGAAGCTATATTTTAGAGAAAATGACCTGATACAGCCAACGAAGCAATGAATTTATTCGTTGTCACCGTTCTCAATTTGCGATCAACGAGTACAGCCAGTAGAACCACGAGGTTTCCTGAGAAGAATTGCTTTTGAATTGAAGAATTGCTTGATCCTTGACTTTTGATTCATTAGATCCTTGACTTTCATTGTTAGTGTAGTTTCACAAAAAAAACAAAACTAATTCTTTGTTTCAAGTATAGAATACCAGTTATACTTATAGTTAGTTAATGATTCGAATGATGATTCGAATGATGATTTGAATGATGATTTGAATGATGATTTGAATGCTGATTCGAATGATGATTCGAATGATGATTCGAATGGATTCGAATGGATTCGAAATGATGATTCGAATGATGATTCGAATGATGATTCGAAGACGATTCGAAGACGATTCGAATGATGATTTGAAATGATTCAAAACTCACCAAGTACAACCATGAAGATGAGCAAGAAAAAAAATGTGTGAGCCACATGGAAATCCACGGTGAATGATGTTGTCTAAAAAAAGCGTTTTCCAATAAAGAAACTAGCAAATTTGAAAACTTAACAACTTTTGATACTCAATTATTTTACGAAAATTCAGTTAAGTGTTCAAAGCTAAACTGCTAGAAGAGTTTTACGGAATGGCAAGTTTTTGCGAATCTCTTAGAGATTCGTAAAAAAAAGATGAATAATTGAGAAGTTTAGGAAGAAATCTTTAGAAAGATATAACTTTTCCCTTTTCTCAGACTGAAAAGAACTGAAAAGTTGATGAGTTTCAATTAGAAATCTCAATTAGAAAAGAAATTCAATCAGAAATCAGAAATCGGATCATCAGATCTTTGTCTTTTTTCGTCAGATCGTCAGATCTTTGTTCAAAAAATGTTCAACAGATTTTCGAGATGCATTTTAGAAAAGAAGTTTAGAAAAGACGTTGACGGGTAACTTGAGTGCCTCTTGAAAAGGAAAAGAACTCTTCAAGCCAGCGATCTCATCAAAAAAATCTCAAAAAAAAATCTAATATGGATTTTTTTTGGGGTTTCGAAAAGGAAACGAATAAAACGATAAAATGAAAAGAGGAAAAAGAAAAAGCTCAATAATTCAAGCGATTTCAATGATCGACAACATTTAAAACCTCATTTCGACACTTGAATTCCAGAAAAGAAGCACCAATTTTTTTTTTGAAAACAAATTAGCCCAGATAGCTACAGTGCGTTTCAAATTCTTAAACGCACCCTCTAAAATAGCGAATTTTGCATTTTGACCACCTCTACAACTATTAATCTTTTTTCTATTAGAAAGAGCATGTCTTAAAACCTAAATAACACGAAAAATAAGCATACTGTAAAAAACAAAAATTTTCAAAATAGAAACTTTTTGCTAAATCAACCGTTTCAAATTCTTAAACGCACTATGAAAATATTTTTATTTATCGACATAAATTAAAAATCAAAGGTAAAAAATCAAAACTAATAATCTGTACACGCACCAGAACGATTAATTACTTGAAAAATCCGGTCTGGCGGTGAATTGATGAGGTTTTGAAGAGCAGGGACGTCGAGATCGCTCCAGGCCGAAAAAATTGCTGCTTTAAGTGTAAAAACGTCTTGAAACTGACGATGATTCTTGTAGACAGCTCGAACAAGTATTCCCCATAAATTTTCTATCGGATTGAGGTCAGGAGACTGAGCGGGTCAGTCCAAAGTTGCAATGTTGTTGTTTTTCAGCCAGTCTCGGGTATCTCCGGCTCGATGAACTGACGCGTTGTTCGATTGAAACAAATCGGGAACGGTTTGATTTAGGAGCGAAAACGGCGACAAGCAATTGTTCAAGATATCTATCTAGTCATCCGATTCGAAACCATCTTCAGAGCGACCGTTCCATCAGCACAAAATGCGGCCCAAACCATCACAGAACCACCGCCAAAGTTTCGAGTCTCAAACACCATCGAATCACGTCGAAGATCCCTCCAATAGTAGCCAACGCTATTGGGGCTATCCAAATTCCATTTCTTCTCATCGGAAAAGATCACCTAAACGCAAAAAAATAATAAAACATAATCGGCTTTCTAACCATAGACCAATCCTGATTCATATGAGCCTTGGCGAACGCCAATCGGGCTTCCTTGTGCAAAAGCGTCACAGCCGGTTGCTTGTTCAACAAGTGTCGATCGATATGTGAATTTTCCGTGACGGCTCGCCAAATTGTCGACTTCGAAGTGTCGATTTTCAGTTCCGTTTTCACTTCATTGATCGTTTTTCCGTGGATGTTGTTCACAATATGAGGTCTAGCTCACGGTGTAAGCTTTGGTTTTGGTCCTGGCTTCTTTGGTGCAGAAACGAACTCGGACTTTATATAATTTCGCACGGCAGAGTCGGATCGGCCCAAATTTTTTGCGATTTTCCTTATTGAGTCGCCAATCCTTAAACGGGCATCAATCTGGCCTTTCTCATAATCCGTGAGCAGCTTTCCGTGTGCCATTTATCTGGAAATTAACAAAAATTATAAATTTAATAAAAAAATATGCACAACAAAACGAAAAATTTCAAATAACAACAGCAAAGGCGGGTGCGTTTAAGAATTTGAAACGGTTGATTTAGCAAAAAGTTTCTATTTTGAAAATTTTTGTTTTTTACAGTATGCTTATTTTTCGTGTTATTTAGGTTTTAAGACATGCTCTTTCTAATAGAAAAAAGATTAATAGTTGTAGAGGTGGTCAAAATGCAAAATTCGCTATTTTAGAGGGTGCGTTTAAGAATTTGAAACGCACTGTATGTATTATGATCTTTTTGATGAAGTTTTATGTAGAAATGACGACAGTAAATCGATTTCTTATCGATATCATGACAAAATTAACATCGCCAATCGATTCCCCGACCCCGAAAACCCCCAGATACAAATTTACAGCTCAACATCTTTTTATATCATCTAAAAAGCAAATGACTGACGAGGTGTTCTTTGTGCGGTAATCGCTCGCGAGTTGACAAACCTGTTCGGTATAAAAGGCCTACCTTTTGCTGTCTTAAAGGGAAAAGAGCGGTGAGCGACTAAGCTAATGAGCTCAAAAATTTGCAAGAGTATGCAATTTTGAATGCTCTTTCCGAATTCGATGTTATTTTTACTAGGAGGTTGTGTGATTTTTTGTAAAAAAAACCGGGTTATGGAATTGGAGACAACACAACGGAGAGCATGGCCGAGAGGTCTAACAAGGTCTAACAAGGTCTAACAAGGTCTAACAAGGTCTAACAAGGTCTAACAAGGTCTAACAAGGTCTAACAAGGTCTAACAAGGTCTAACAAGGTCTAACAAGGTCTAACAAGGTCTAACAAGGTCTAACAAGGTCTAACAAGGTCTAACAAGGTCTAACAAGGTCTAACAAGGTCTAACAAGGTCTAACAAGGTCTAACAAGGTCTAACAAGGTCTAACAAGGTCTAACAAGGTCTAACAAGGTCTAACAAGGTCTAACAAGGTCTAATAAGGTCTAACACGAGAGGTCTAAGGCGCGCGAGGTCAATCCAAGGCTCCAATAGGTTCGATTGTTGGTTCGACTCTCCGGGAGCGTAAACTTTTTGCAAAAAAAATTCTCTAATAGTTTCAGATACTTTAGAGGAAGTAGCTACAAACTACCGTATTCTCTCTAATAGTAGTGCACTCTCTAATAGTATTGCGGTCCATGAGGGGGTTGAAAAAAATAGTAGTGCGCACTACTATTAGAAAGAATACGGTATATGGAGTTTGTTGGTCTAAATTTAAAGCCCGACACTCAACCCGACAATTTTTGGTGAGAATCGGTTCTAATTCAGTTCTAATTCGGTTCTCATTCGGTTCTAATTCAGTTCTAATTCAGTTCTAATTCGGCCCTATCCTTTAAGATCAGATAACTTATTAAGAATTATGAAGCGATTCAACGAATTTCTATCTCACCTTGTAAAAAGTGAAAAGACTAATTCCAAGAAAAAAAAAACTTCAACCACCGAAATCTTATCAAAAGCTTTTTGACGCTTGACTGGATTGATTAAAGTGGGGAAAAATGCGATCTCTTCCAGAAAAAAACTCTTCCATTTTCATTCATATCTTTTTCCATTGAATAGATTGGCGAAAATAACCGCAAATCCCCTCTTTTGTAATGTCAAATAAAAAAAGAAATCCGATGAAAATTGAAGAAGAAAAACGACGAACATTCAGAGATTTGGGATTAGGGTTTCCAAGGGGAAATCGCTGAAAATATATTATGGATTTGGAAAAAAGTTCAAAAAGTGAATAAATAAAGAAATGGGGAAAAGAGGGAAGGAATCCACGGTGGTTGTGAGTTGAAATTTTAGCCGGAAAACGGCAAATTCAACTTTCAATTCGATTTTTTTTTGGTTTCAATCTTTCTCTGACCTCATTTTCATCGGATCGGTTCGTTGGATCGGCTGAGAAAAGCGTCAAATTCAGAAGGGGAACCATTACAGAAACGAGAAGTCATTCATCTGAAAAAGACTCACTTTTGACTGATTGAAAATTGACTTTTGACTGAAAAAGACTCATTTCCGGGTATTTTCAATGAGTCGTGCTTTGGAGGGTGATCGCGAATTCTAGCGACAGCTTTTTGGAGTATCTGAAAAATGTCTAATCTATTTCAAAAGTGACAATTGTAATAAAGAGAATTGTAGCCCTAATTCTTGGCAACATTTATCTACCAAAAACTTCCCGATTGGATTTATACAACTTATTTAAAAAGGACGTTTTAGAACATCAAGGACATTTTAGGCTTTTAAATGATACGCTATTTTTTCATTGAAGTAAAGTTTTTCTTAACAGTTTGTAATAGAGAAAAGTGGCCAAATGACAGATTCGCCGGAGAGATGTTGACTAGCATTCAAGCGCTTGTTAAATGAGTTGTATAAGTCCAATCGGGAAGTTTTTGGTAGATAAATGTTGCCAAGAATTAGGGCTACAATTCTCTATATAGCAATTGCCACTTTTGAAATATTAGATATTGATTGGATAAGCCGTTTTCTCAGAAAACACATTACCAAAAAACGATCGTTTATAACTTGCCAACCTAATATTTCAAAAGTGGCAAGTGTTATATAGAAAATTGTAGCCCTAATTCTTGGCAACATTTATCTACCAAAAACTTCCCGATTGGATTTATACAACTCATTTAACAAGCGCTTGAATGCTAGTCGACATCTCTCCGGCAAATCTGTCATTTGGCCACTTTTCTCTATTAAAAATTGTTAAGAAAAACTTTACTTCAATGAAAAAATAGCGTTTTACATTACTTAATAACATTAAGAATTACAATCAACGTTTTGGCTGGACTGGCATAACTAAAATTTAAGTCAATATCAAGTATTTTCTTTTGAAGGAGCATGGAAAAGGTGTAAATTGATTGTTTGCGATATTCAGTATGCGTATCTTGTTTTATCAGCTGTTCTGGCACTAGAAATTTGTTGAAAAAATCTTTTTT